GCGAGCCTTACAGTAGTCGCGTATAGGCTTGCCAGATGTAACTAAGTGGAACAAATGTGGTTGAGATTAAATTTGAATGGGCTTAAGCTTGTATTTGGTACTGCATACCGACCACCCTGGATGAATGTTGATACTTTTATAGATGCGTTGTCAGAGACAGTGAGTAGTTTGTCGGCAGCTGATCATGTAATCTTAATGGGAGACTTTAATATTGATCTTTTGAAGTGTAATGAATCCAATTCAAGAAAGTTGCTTGACTTTAGTCACACAATGAACCTTAAGCAATATGTGTTCGAACCGACACATTTTACTGACCACTCGGAGACCTTGTTGGATCTGGTATGTAGTAGCGCAAAGGTAGTAAACATGCTTGTTGATCACGTGCCGGATCTCAGTAATCATGCATTTATATCGTTCGATTTAAATATTAAGAAACCGAAACAAGTACCTCGTTGGATAACGTATAGACCACTTAAGAACATTGATTTAGATCACTTTGACGAAGCTGTGAATGCCATAGTATGGGAATCGCTATTGAGTGAGGATTTAAACAGTACATTGACAGCTTTTAATACACATCTCACAAATTTGTTCGATATCTTTCCTCCGACAAAAACATCTTACATCAAAGAACAGACTTACCCTTGGATTACACAAACGGTCAAAGAGATGATGAGTTTAAGGAACGATGTTCATGCTAGATATCATAAAACTAAAGTCATGAGTCACAAAAACTATTATAAGGATTTAAAAAGCATAGTGAATGTAGCGATCCACAATGAAAAGATTGCATATTTCAAACACAATGTTGGCAAACACTCTAAAAACCCACGTACACTGTGGAAAAGTATTAAGCGTCATGTAGATTTCAACAACAAAAAACATTCGGAACTGCCCGAGAGCATTTCAGATCCTAATCATATTAACAGGCATTTTCTGGATCTAGCGGTTTCCGTTAAACGTGATCATACACAATTCCAACAATTTAATGTAAATCGCTTTAGTAATAGTGTGTTTAATTTGAAGCCGGTGGATGAAACGGTAGTATCGGAGATTATTGGAAACATGAAATCAAATGCACAGGGTGTGGACGGTATTTCATTGAACATGATCTTGCTGACTCTGCCGCGAACCTTGAGCATCATCACTACTATTATCAATATGTCTATCACAACTTGTACCTTTCCAGACCAATGGAAAGTATCAATTATCAAACCCCTCCATAAAATAGATCATCCAACAGAGCTCAAGGAACTTCGTCCGATTAGCATCTTGCCATTTATGTCAAAAATTTTGGAGAAGGTTGTGTGCGCCCAACTAATAGAATACTTGAACGCGAATAACATTCTGCCAAAAAGACAAGTCTGGTTTCAGAACGGGTTTGAGCACGGCAACAGCGCTATTGGATGTCATTGATGATATACTGGCAGGTCGAGATGCAGACAAAGGTACAATGCTTGTTTTGCTTGACTTCTCTCGCGCGTTCGACACAATCAACACTGATTTGCTTTTGGCCAAACTTAAATATTACGGTTTCAATGATTCTGCTGTTCGTTGGTTTTCAAGTTATCTGTCTGGTCGAAGTCAAAAGGTTGCGGTTTTATCTAAAAGTGGCATAAAAAAGTACTCTGCGACTTCTCCTGTTTATCGTGGGGTACCACAAGGATCTATACTTGGGCCTATACTGTTCATTTTATATACTGCTGACCTACCAAGCTGTGTACTAAACTGTAATCATCACTTATACGCCGACGACTTACAAGTTTATAAATCATTTAAGCCTGTTGAGACTAATCTAGCGGTGAATGCAATTAACAGTGATCTAGATCGCATATTTCAGTGGTCGGTGAAGAACAGTTTGTTACTGAATCCAGCAAAGACTAAACTGATGGTTTTGGGCACTGAAACTCAAATGAAACGAATCAAAACCCATAAACCTGTGCTCAAAGTAAAGTCTGATGTAATCGAACAAGTAAGTGAGGCTAGAAACTTGGGTGTTTTATTTGATTCTAACTTGAGATTTGAGAAGCATGTAACAGACACTGTCAAACAATGTTTTTATAGGCTAAGGGTGCTATATCAAATACGTAAGTATTTGCGTGTGGAATTGCGAATTCACCTCTGCGAGACACTAATATTATCTAAATTAAACTACGCGGACACTGTCATTGGAGATTGTCTTTTAACTAGATCAAAACTGCTTATACAGCGAGTACAGAACGCTTGTGCATATACTGTTTTCCGATTCCCCAAAGAGCTCACGTGACACCCTATCTAAATAGAAGTGATATGCTAAATATGGAAAACCGTCGCAAAATGCATTTTGCAAGTTTGTTGTTTGGAGTTATACAATGTATGAGAAGCTGACTTTCTCTGAGCGTCCTTTGCGGATAACATCTCGTATGAGGTGTCCCGCACATAAAACTAGTGCGTTTCGAGGTAGTTTTCGTTACGCAGCGACTAAATGTTGGAATAACATTCCTCCTCCAATAAGGAACTCCAAAACGGTTTGCACTTTTAAAGTTAAATACAGGAAATATTTATTGGATGTGCAAAAGTTGTAACGAGGGTCGCTAGAACGCCATGGTTGATTTTGAGCACCATTTCATACGCTGTAAATTTTAATTTAATTTAATTTTTTTTTTTGATTTCATTTTGTTTCACAATATGTATCCAATAGCTTTTAGTAATTTGACATATGTATTTAAATCTTTTATTCTTAATATTTTTAAAAATGTAATTTAATTTAAGTAGGCTGCTGCTGAAAATCAGTGTCGTGGCACAAGTTGCCTCGACGTATACTAAGCAGTGGCCTGTTTGGTACACAATCACCTATATGTAACACAAGAAGTTATTTTTGTAATTTGTGCCAAATAACCGTTTTTGAAGTTATACTTCTTTAGGCGCGTTATGAAAAAACGATGAGAGTGAAATTTTAAGATGCGCGCGCATCACTGTAACACAAAAAATTAACAGCATGAAGTTGGTCGCTAAAGCCAACCAACCTCATGCTGTTAATTTTTGTGTTTACCGCACATTAAGAAAATCTACCAACAAAATAGAAATAGAATCTCTATTTTGTGGGTGCTAACGACTGCATTGTGAAGGCCTATCAAAAGTATTTATTAATCTGGAACAACGGAACCAAAGCGCGATTATGGAGACAACAGCGCCATCTTGACCATTGGTGTAGTAGAACCAAAAACCATATCTTTATTTTTGACGTGACAACGTCTTAAATTAGGTTGCGGCTGGGAGTCACTTATGAAAAAGTGTAACGCTCGGTAACGTTACGATGAGTCTCTCGTGTTAAGTTTAAGTTTACATGTACAATGTTTTAGTAAACAAAATATATTTCTATAGTTAAAATTTGTGCAATTCTTATTTTCATTCAATTCCTTGTTCCTATTGTGCAATTTAATTATATTCATATCAATAAATATTCTACCGAGAAAAAGACGTTGTCACGTAAAATCTTCGCCCGTAAAACCGACTTTACAGGCAACCATTTTTTTTTAATAAAGTAACAGTTATAGGTATTCATATTTATAATATTTATCCACATGTTTCTAGTTTGTATATTCGGAATAGGTACGTGTTTGAGTTTCATACAAGTACAAATGACATATGTTCTAATAAATTATATTCAGTAGCGATTTTAATTGAATATTTTGATTATTTATTTATTTTTTCAAATTAAAACTGAACTTTATTGACTGTGTCCCTTTCCAGACTTTTTATTAATTTATTGTAATTAATTATTTGCATGCAATTAAAAACTAATTTTAAACGATGCCAAAGAAGGATAACTTCTCACGCGCCTACATAAGTACACGCACCCATTTTTTTTATTATTATTATTATTATATTCACCAATAAATAGTTAAGGTCACTAAAATAGACTCTATTATAAAATCATATGAATACGTTTCGGCACATATTCGAATTGGATCTCACTCGATTACTTGTAAGTTTCTATTCTCGTTTCTTGTAAAATTCATTTTTAATTGAAAAAAGCACTAAAATATAGAAAAAAGACTTACATGTGAAATGATATCCTGTCTTTTTGTAAATTAGAGGTGTTTGATCTTTTTTTGCACATTAAAACGGCTCAGGTTGGCATTTTTTTGCGAGGAGACACGGGCTGTTGTCACTACGATAACGATTCTCACACTGTGGAAATCTATCGATAGTAAGTAGTTTTTATGAACGCACAGGATCATTTGATCTTATAACTTGACAGAGGGGAAAGATCTTGCTAGGCTAGTCCTGTGGTTTAATGGTCTAAGGCCAGTGTCAACTGACCTGTGCAACTGATTGGCCACTTATCCAAAGCCGTTAAATTTCTAAATAAATAAAAACCTGTGCAACTGACTGACTATCTGTCAAGTAGAGATGGGCGTTTTTAGATGTTTGTGAAATCGATGCGCATCGGTATCACTTAAGTCGTATCGGATGCACGCATCGATTCCAAGTGAATGTCAGTATCGTAGTATCATAGGATACGATGCGATATGGATTACGACAGATGCGTGTTTTGTGTGGGTGTGTATCTTCGATTCCATAAATCATGACTAGAAACTGTAATCGCAACCTTTTATTTAGTTTTTGGTATGGTAACTGAAAACATTTAATGCTGGCAAAATTATTACTTAAAAAATTGCACTCAAAGCGTAGGTTTCAAACGGACTGCGTGGCACAAACTTTTCTGTGCCGGTGGCAAAAATTGGAACTACAATTTATCCATTGCGTTTTGTCTTTTTATGACATATTTGTTCACCACTAGGGATATTTATTCGATATCCACCGGCATTGATAAGTTTATAGCACTGTTGGTATAGTTACGTTGACAATAACTAGATGGCATTGGCATCCAATAACGGCATCCAGTCGCATCGAATGCACTCATTAAAACCTGGCATCGTTATCGCGCATCGTTACTCGTTATTCGTTATCGTTATTCTAAGAACGCTCACCCCTACTGTTATGTGTCACTGTCAAATTTGTTACGCGTTCGCGTTCCTTTCGTTCGCGTCTCATGTTTCTCTTCTATTTTTCATATAAATAATATTTTCGTGGTGTTTTCTTTAGGTCTCAATTGAGATAAGTTTTATTAACCTTATTTAATAACGTAATGATTAGTTACTAGTTTTGTGTAGATAATAAGATTTAGATAGTTGTAGTGTAAGTGACATGGCTGAATCTGCTGATATTAATATTCCGCTGCATTCAATCGAAGCGGATTCTTCCCAAGCACACGGACACGAAGGTAAATAAGTAAACAATTTTAACGTAATAAGTCGATTCCACATTTATCACAAGTAAGGTTTAATATTAATGAAATTACGAACTTGTTTGTTAACTTTGTTTTCAATAAAAATCAGCTGATTTGGTCGTCTATACCAGTTATATTTCGGATTCGGACGGATCGGATCGACAGTTTTTAATAGCATTATTGTTTTAAATTTTTACTGTTAAATTACTGTACCCAAAAAAATTACCCAATATAAGTTACAGAAGAGCTTTTAAATCAATTACATAGAACCTATTTATGTGGTGCTAAGACAGTGAGTTTTTTATTTATGATTCTGCTTAAATGATAACTCTGTTCCAGAAATTTAACTGCTTACAGAATTCATTTATACATCCAAGTAAAACTTTTCTACTTTATTTAAGTGGTTTTTAACCTCTAAAATGTGCTAATATTGTTTTTTATGTTATTTATTATCAGCATCATCCAGTGCAAATCCTGATGATGGGGCATCTAGCAGTTCAGCGACCCCAGCTGGCAGTGAGGGACAGGCTTCCCGCCAATCAAACCTGCAACGCATACAACAGAGAAAGGAGCAAGTGTATAACTGGCCTCATAATAAAAAGCTACTAAAACTCGCTATCTATTCTGCATGTCAGGTGAGAACACTCTTTTTAGGTTGGCATTGCCGTCCGTCTTGATTTTAACAGAACCTTCTCATGAGCAAATCCGAAATCAATAAATCTTTATTTAAATTGGATGTATATTACAAGTCTTTTCTATATCCTAAATTTTTATCTCCCTACCACTTGTTATTGGACATATTTTTTAGCTGGGGAGAAAAACGAGCAAAAAACAACATTTACAAATCATGATGTTGTTACAAAATCAATACAATCATGATTTATTATATTTAGAATAAAGAAAACCTATTGGAATGATTGTAACAGTTCAAACCCAAGCATTTTTGTCTGTAATATAATCAGAGAGGGAGTTTGTATCAAAACCTTGTTATCTAACTATAAATTGCAATTCTTTATTAGGTTTTTTTGAGAGTGTAAGTTATTCTTGAAAAGAAACTGAATTATTTGGCTTAGTAGTTCCTTTAGCTAGGGGAATTCTGGTCTAATTAATGCAAACATTAATGTTCTTCTTTATTATGAGTATGATATTTCATTTGTTTATCCAGTAACTGACTGCCATTCAATTTATGACCATTCTTTACTATGGCTTTAATTAGTTGATTGTATACATGACTTAATCTATTTTAACAGGTCCTTGATATATTACAGAAAACATATATTATGTAATTGAAAAAGAATTGTAACATACAGTTGTACGGCGATTATCCGAATTAATTGGGACTGGTGTCGATTTGGATAGTCAGACATACACTGGTAATAAAGAAAAACAAACTGTCACATATAGAATAAACCTTATAAGTTTTGGAGGCCATACACATGCATGTACATGCATAACCGACATGCAAACCCTAGCGTGTATGTGATAAAACTGTACAGTTATCGGTGCATGTACATGCAACCGAACAAATATCAAAATTGATATTTTATGCCGCTCGGCATGCGCGAGCATAACCGAGCGTGTGTGGCGTCCGGCGAGCTTGCCTGTCACAGTTCTCAGTTTTTAATTGTTGCGACGGCGGAAGGTCCGAGCACCATCGCGTCGTTTCGAAAATGGCACAGTTTCTGTCACAGAGTACCTTATTATAACCGGAAATGACACCTGATTTTAAAAGTTACTCTTATGCATTAACTTTAAAAACAGGCACCTATCTGTTAATCTACATGCTCTATATACCTGAATCTAATCCATAATTTCGGTACTTGGCTTGATTTTCCTAGTTTACTATATAACTTATTTGTTTTTTATTATTATAATATGTTCAGTGTATATGGTTTATAGAAGTTCTCAGGGGTATCCGTCAATAATATTCGTTTCTACAGTAATTTATATATAATTTCGAATCTAGGAAACAATTTTTCATGATTATTGGTCTTTAGGCCAAACATGTATGGAAGCTGAGCAATCTCCTTTAAGTGGACTCTAGCGAGTTCCGACTTGTTACAACAAAACAAAACAAAAATAACTTGGTTTTAATTTTTTAAATTACGCTTAGGATTGGTTCCGATAATTGGCGACTCAGTTAATCGGCGTTCTACTGTAATAGAAAAATAGTGAGTTTGTTGTCTTTTCTGTCGTCATAACCTGGAATCACACAAAAATCATTGAAATATTAAATTGGTCCTTTCTGCTAACCCATGGTTAAGTATTTAATAAAATTAGCAGTATAATGTAAAAACAATAGTACTGCAACTTAATACACCAATTTATTACTTTCACAGACACCTGATTGCACCTGTAATGGATGGAAAACACCAGTAACTCAGCAAGCTGGTAAAAATAATGCACGTGCTGACAACCAACCATTGGCCAGTTTCAATGATCCTTGCCGCAACTGCAATCATATTTTGGGTTTGTTCATAAAATTAAATTAATTTATTAACAGTAGATTAATTTACAGTGTATTTCTTATGCTCGCTTGAGGTGACACCAAAGTAAGACGTTTGTAAACTTTGTTTATGTAATATAAAATATTATAATGCTGCTAATTAATAATTGTGCACATAGGTCATGGAAATGGTTCTTTTAAATATGATTTCACTTGCCTGCTTATTAAACAATTTATTTTAATCTTAACTTAAACCTGACCTTGTAGGTAAATTTAAGTTTAAGTTGAAGCTACACAGTGTTCTTATTATTACAAAATAAAATATTTAGACTAAAGCCGAACCCGGTCTATAAATTATATACAGATACAGGTTTAAGCCAAGTCTAACTTTAATCTTTGTTTTGTTAAAAGGGGGAGTGTCTTATCCCCGTTTTTTTAAATGCATTTTTTTATACAGAAAAGCATGTAACCCAACTACAAGGACTGCCAGTAGCTGAAGTCAACCGACTGCTAGGAGCCGTAGTGGATGTGGAGAATATCTTAATGTCGATGCATAGAGAAGATGACCATGACACAAAGAGGGTTTACTACTACTTGTTTAAAGTAAGAATATTTTGATGGTTTTGAATAATAGCTAAAGCTATACTTATCATGAATCCTTATCATAATATTTTAGCGGGTTTAGTCTGGCACCTAGGAAGTTATTGACTTAGTGCCTGTCCATATCTCCACGTCACGATGTCGGTAGCGTGGAACGGTGCGGTAACGATCACGTTGACGACGTCGTGACGTGGAGATACGGACAGGCATTTACACATCATTCTGTTTTAATATACGATTGATGACCATAACTTTTTAATCGAGCTCCTCTTTACTTTGGAAGAAAAGTGTGGTAGCTTATGAGCCCAGTAGCCCTGCTTCTCTGTTCCATCCATAAAAAAAGGATTACGTGCGAACTAGTTATATTGAAATTTTCTTAAGGACTCAATCGAAGTCCAATTTAACAGAATAACTCTTACGAGATTTGTTATATTTACTTTAAATAATCTTGTTTCACAAAGGCTGTAAAGAGTCCAAAACTTTAAGAATAATTAAGAAATACTCTAATAAATTGCACATGAGGAGCTGGCGAACAGAACGGTAAATATGGTTTTTAATTTATACATTTAGTAATTTTAACTCTGTTTCAGATGGTTTTGATTGAAAATTATTTTAGTTTTGAAATTCAACAGGCTCGAAACCTCCATCATCCATCTGAAACAGAGATAAAATTACTAAATGTATAAATTAAAAACCATGCCATAATCTCACTGGAGGTATGTCATTCCGTTTTATATAGCTCCTGTAAAATTTAATTTGATGTAATTATAACATTTTGTTCGCCAGCTCCTCACATAATACCCATTCAAAAGGTATTATATTATATATATTTTTTTAACAGCTACTCCGTAAATGCATCCTGACCCGTACACAGCCTCGTATTGAAGGTCCTTTGGGACAACCTCCATTTGAAAGACCCTCTATAGCTAAAGCTATCACCAACTTCGTGCTATACAAATTCCACACTCTGCCTCAAAGGGAATGGCAGACGATGTACGACCTGGCCAAAATGTTCCTCCACTGCTTCAACCATTGGAACTTTGAAGCGCCAAGTGTTAGGAAATTGGTAAGTTGAAGATTCGTGTTTAAAACTAACTTTTTTTAATGCTAAGAATCGGATATATAAATATACATGAACTAAGTAAAGTTTTTTTTTTAAATTTTCTCTTTTAATTCAGCATTTTCCATTTTATAAAATATTATAATAAAATATTAACTAGACAGAAACTGTTATTATATCTTTAATTTTATTTTCACAGCAAGTATCAAATCCTGAAGACATTTCTGCATACCAAATTAATTTTACAAGGTAAGTTCCAAAATTATTTTTTTCACACCCCATTTAGCAAAACCCCGAAGTAAGCACGGTTAGGTTTGTGCTATGAGTACTAGGTTAAGGTTTATATTTTATAGAAATATATATATATATATATATATACTTGGGTTGAGGTGCTCAACGGCGTAGGTGGTTATCGCGTTCGGCCTTCGATCGTGGAAATTAAGTAACTTTCGCTGTTCTGTACAGTACCGAAGCACGAACCAATATCGAATTCACATTGTTTGCGAGTACGAAATGTCATTATCAAATTTTGTATGGAAATTTGAACAGCAGCGCCAAAAAATATGTAACGAGAAATAAAAATCAGTACACATTTGACATTGACATTTCGGACTCGCAAACTATTCGATTCCGATATTGGTTCGTGCTAAGGATACAGTATTAACACAGTGAGAGCTATCTATTACGACACCTTTAATACATGGGTTGTCTGCCCAGACGAGATAATACATCTATTGATTGTGTGACAACACATATAAAACAACGATTAACCTTGTGACAACATCTATAATACTTCTATTGACTGTGTGACATCGTCTATAATACATCGATAGACTGTGTGACAATACCTTTAATAATATATAACAAAAGACTGTGTGAAAACAGCTTTAATACATTTATTGTCTGTGTGACAACAATTATAATACATCTATTGACTGTGTGACAATACCTATAACAATACAGCGATAGACTGTGAAAACACCTATAATACATTGATTGAGTGTGTAACAACAACTGTAATACATCTATTGATTGTGTGGCAATACCTATAATAATACAGCGATAGACTGTGTGTAAACTCCTATAATACATTGATTGACTGTGTGACAACAACTATAATACATCGATACACAGTGTAACAATATCTTTAATAATACATCAATAGACTGTGTGAAAACACCTATAATACAATGATTGACTGTGTGATAACAACTATAATACATCTATTGACTGTGTGACAATACCTATAATAATACTGCGATAGACTGTGTGAAAACACATATAATACATTGATTGACTGTGTGACAACAACTATAATACATCGATAGACCGTGTGACAATACCTTTAATAATACATCGATAGACTGTGTGAAAATACCTATAATACATTGTGTCGCGACACAGATGACAGAACTGATAGGAATAAAGATAACGATGGACTACGAGACAGGACGGCGGTAACTGCCAAGTTTCAATCCACCGACGACTTCAACTTAGACTTCTACGACCTTATCAAGACGACGACTCCAACGACCAGACACATTGATTGACTGTGTGACAACAACTATAATACATCCATTGCCTGCCCAGGTGGCTGGTGTTCTGCCACGTGCCGGCGTTCTGTGACTCGTTGCCTCACTACGAGACATCTCTAGTCTTCGGAAGGACTTTACTCCGCGCCGTCTTCAAGTCTGTCTGCAGACAACTGATGGACAAGTGCCACTCGGAACGCGACCGTATGCCGCCAGAGAAAAGGGTGAGTTTCGATTGATATTAATACTAGCCGATTGTGAAGTGTGGCTTAATAAAGTTATTGGTCCTCTGTACTTATTTTATCACCTATTTTTGAGACAAAAAGTTAGCTTTAGATGTCCTTCTTCAAATACCAAATTATCTCTTTGCCATAATTCGTAACAAAATGTGTTTGGCTGACATTTATTTTTGTATTTCTGATACAGGCTGGTCTTGACCTTACCTGTATAGAATAATTGATTCTTCATTAAACATTCTTATCTACAGCCACACTTTACCTATATTTAATACTTTCGCGATAAAAAGTAGTGATATATCTAATATATCCATGTTATCAATCTACACCAAAACTCTTCAAAATATATTTCAGTTACTGAAGTGTTAGAACTCATTATTTTTAAACCGCTAAGAATGTAGTTAGTGCAAATTATAAACTATGTTGCATATACCAACTTACCAACAGTAGTGGCTGATGACCAGCCTAGAATTTTTAATATTTTCAGAATAGTGATCAGAACCCCAGGCACGAACATCTAGCGAGAAAGAATTCGTATCGTCATGTCAAATTTTCTATGGAGAAAGCTAGTTTGTTCTTACGTCCGGTAGGGGCGCTGCTTATTTTCCATAGAAACTTTGACGTTGGCGATACGAATACGGATCTGTCAAAGTCTGTGCTTGGGGTACTACTGTCTGCGCAAAATAGTAACCTGCGTATCTATTCAGTTTATTCTGTCTCCCCCGATCCAGCATCAATTTCTTTCTAAAAAGATTACAGTAAAGAATATAGGTCTTCATAATAAAGGGTTGTAATAGTTTATTGTAATAAAACAGCTGTTAACAAGTAGAACTTCTTTATTCTTCTCCACACTCATTATCGGTCCCGTCAGGTAAAATGGCCGCTGTCTTTATACCTGCGCACTGCTTTATCGATTTAACGACTATCACAATTAATTCTTCCCTGTATTGTATGTTATACAAAAACCTACTGTCACTCTACAATAATTCTACCTGATACCTTAATAAAAAAACGAGCGAACCTTACAGTAGTCGCGTATGATGTGTAACATTTGAAAACCTCACCTTATATTAGTAAAAAAAGGAAATAAAACCTACTACAAAAGGAATAAGCTATTTGAACATTATGTTCTAAAATCAAATCAAATAGCGCGCGCTTTCGCGACTTCCTGTTAAACACTTCAGTCCCATTTCACAGGAAAGCGAGAGGAAAGATGTTACACATAAAAAAAACAAAACCTAATACTTTCAGACGCGGCTGTAACAATGCACAAAGAAATCCCCTCCTCTATCGCTCAGCGGCCTTTTTTTCTTTATTTTTTTTTTGCTTTGTACGACTTGTGCGTTTAGCCACAGTCAATAACAAAAATTTGGGAAACAGAAGGATATTAAAGCAAGTATTCCTTATACTACAGAAAAAGAATCAGGGAATTATGAAGAATGTAATTTACATAGAATGCACATATTATACAAAATTTACAAATAATTAAATGTAAATATCTTTTATTACCGCGGGCTTTTAACGTGACGGGATCTATACACTTACCCCCTTATTAATAAACGCAGAATAAGCTTTGATTAGTAAATCCATCCACGAACAGAGACAAAGTTCGTTGATTGACAAATGGCATTTGAGTGACATGAACAAAACACGGCATAACTAGTCTAAGCTTATTCCTTCTTTATTAATGAGTAGGTTAATGTTACACTAGTGCACGTTTTGGAGGCTCCAACAAGACTGCGCTCCTCCGCCATGAAACTCGACGACGAAGCCTACCCTCCCAACTATTTTTTATTGAATAATCTTAGCGGTCGGCTGCGATCGTTGAAGTTAAGCAACTTTCGCAGTGGTCGGTCTTTGGATGGGTGACTAAAAATCTTCTATCTCGAGTTCCTCCGTGCTTCGGAAGGCACGTTAAGCCGTTAGTCCCGGCTGCATTTGCAGTTGTTAGCACCCGCCAATCCACAATGGGCCCGCGTGGTGGACCATCTCCCAATCTGCCTATTCCATCCATAGGGAAGGCCTGTGCCCCAGCAATGGGGACATTAATAGGCTAATGATACTGATGAGGGAATACATTTAATCAATTTTCTAGTAACCTCACATTATAATTTCTAATACATATATATTGCTCCCAGGTTCTAGTGTTAACTCACTTCCCTCGATTCCTGGCTCTACTCGAAGAAGAGATATTTAGCACCAACTCCCCCATATGGGATCCCGATTTCAAGCAAATACCACCGAACCATTTGCAGGCGATTCTCGACCAAAAACCCAGTAAGTCAAAGAACATTTTTGTTTGCGAACTGCAACATGTTCATGCCGATACTTATAACGCTTATATATCTTAGCAAGGAATGGATGCAGCTTCAGGTGGAAGGAATTAAATTTATATATTGATTTTGAATGCAAACAGTCTTATAAATATTGATCTTACTTTTAACACTAAAATAGTACTGTTAACATTTCTATAATATTACTATAAAGCAATATTTTCAGTGTTCACCGACTTTTTACACACATAATTACCATCGCATTGCATCTAACTATATAGAACATAATTAAAATTACACAAGATTTATTGCACATGTTTTAGAGTGACTGCAATTATTATATCATTAGTTGATAACTAACTGTAATGAGGAGATGTATTGGATAAATTGCACTATATTTAATTATAATAAAAAATATATACAGCAATAATCGAGCGAACATATGAGACAACAGCAATTGTGACAGAATGAGACAATATGTAAAAAAGGAAATAGTAAAAAATGACAATTTAAAATAAGTATAGAAATTCTGTGACCTTCCAGCCAGTCGCCAACATCAGTAATTTGGCTATCTTCTAAAAACTTTTAGTGCTAATATTTAAAATTCACTTTGATAGAAATAATGTGCTTTAACAACGATGTATTTAAATAAAGTCGCTTCCAAAAAAATATAAAATCTTCCTATTCAATACTATAATAATAGTGATAATTTTCTCCAGGTTAAATAAAACAAACAATGTTTATGCGACTTGCGCTAAGTTCACAGCATAGTAAATAAAATTAGGCTATGATGACGATAGCACAGGTCGCAGGGTGTAGTAATAGTTATTTATGATACTAGTGCGGTAAGTTGGTTTCTGACTAGAAAATACTTAAATTAGGTATAGGTACTGTTTTCTCGCAAATGTGTTGAAAATGTTTGTATGACATTCGTGCGGAATTGGTATTTAAAAATCTCATGACTATGGTTACACATCGTCTTCTCGTTTGTAAAAAAAAAACAATTTACCGCACCAATATCATAAATAACTATTACTTGCTACTAACTTCACTACCGCCATAAAGTTAAAAGATTTTAATTTAAGTCTACATACATTATAATAACACTTTGTTCTAAAATTATACATCTGCACTGCAATTTTAGATCAAACAAATTGAACTCACACAAACTAAATAACCACGCAAGAAACAGTAATACTAATCCATACACATACATACTATATGCCGCGGCTTACTGCTTGTACATTGAATGTATCGCTGATAGCGGGTTAGCAAAGGTTAGTATCGAAATTGTGAACGCTTGGCTATATAAATATGACTTTTTGCATCGCTAAATACGGTTTTTACTCAACTGAACTTATACCCAAAAGCTTCTATTCATCGTTGGCCCCAGAACCTATTAGACATTTGGCGTACATTATTATTATAATATTTAAAAACACTTTTACCGTAAGCCAGTATTAAAAAGAGACCCTACATTCAAAAAAACGAGCGAGCCTTACAGTAGTTGCGTATGATGTGTAACATTTGAAACTTCACCTTATATTAGTAAAAAAAAGAAATAAAACCTACTACAAAAGGAATAAGCCATTTGAACATTATGTTCTAAAATCAAATCAAATAGCGCGCGCTTTCGCGACTTCTTGTTACACACTTCCGTCCCATTGCAAGAAATCACTCCCACAAATTGCAGGAAAGCGAGAGGAAAGATTCTACACATCAAAAAGAAAACAAATATATTCACTTAATCGTTATTCATTGAACTCTATCGCCATCTTTGATATTTAGAACCTCTGCGTTCCGTGTCTATATTCAGGGTATTTGGCACAAGTATATTTTTTGTTTACGCCGGCCAAGTGAAGTCACTCGGCTATTCGTGTTTGCTATTTGTAAACCTGACAACAGTCTGTCCTTAGCATGCTTTATAAGGAATGAAAAGGACAGACTTATGTAAAAACACGAATAACCAAGTGAAGATAATGATAATGAATGACAGATATTCAATGGGTTCTCGGGATATTATTTCCTTGTCCTTTGCTTTATTGAGTATGACACACACGAATGCTATTTGTACTGATGAGCAAACAACAAAAATGTGCAAAAAATTGAACTACTGGCATTTAATTAAATATCTACTTTAGAAATCATTTTTACAATTTGATTGAACAGTTAATAGTAGTTAATCAATACCAAATTAACCATCGTTAAGACTTAATTAATGTCAAATGAAGAAACATTCAATTGTACACTAATGGGAGTTATATTTACACTGATGTGTATCTATCTTACAGCCGTACTCGGAGACGTCAATCAACATTTAAGTTTTATTAGATTTATTGCTGTCACTTTGCTATAACAATATTTTAAGGTCGCTGTTATTAGGCATTATGAAAACGATTGTTATGATTTAACTATGTATGTTCGAACAATTATTTTTTTATTATTATTGTTACTTATTAATAGAGCAGTGATTTCTAAAGTGCTACAGATACTCACTCATCACGCAAATTCTCAAAGATAGATTCTTAGATTAAAACAAAAAGGGAAAATACGGCACTCGCGGCTCAAAAGTGATCCGCTTAAATTGTTTTGCATGACCACGATTCGCTTTAGTCACAATTGGACATTCAAACACGCTACATGTGAACTCAATATAACAATCTTGCGTATATTCTGTGTTATAAAGATAAAACAATGCCTTCGATGCTTTTATAAAGAATACAAATAGTTCAAAATCAAATGCCTCGGCAACACTTCATTCGCAAAACTGTTAAAACTTTTTTTTTTCTCAAAAATCAAGGTTTGTCGTGAATTTTATTTACGTAATCGCCATTTTGTTATCAAGAAATGGACAATAATACGACTCAGCCGTACGGACTCGGTAGCGGACTCGCCGCTTTGCTCGCGCCGCGTTAAAGCGTACAGTTCTGTCTCGCTCGCTCGTTTGAATGTTTATACGCAGCCGTATGGGTGAGTGACAGTTGCTTATGTCGAGTGAATGAGTCGGATCGATAGATTTTATTTGATGCTACTATGAGCGTAACGGTACTTCCCTTTTTGTTTTAATATAAGGATAGATCTAATCTTCACGTAACTTTACCCAAACCAGTAAAATTTTGCATTGCTCTATGAGAAAGAATCGTTTTTGGGAGTATGACGGGGTCGACCAAAATCAGTAAATTTAAAAAGTGGTATTTAACAAAGTTCTTTGTTGTAACTTTTACATAAGTGTACCACAGTCGGCTTAAAGTTAATTGACGTTTCTACGTATGGCCGTTACACTGTCGCTCCGTTGTCGCTCTGCCACCCGGCCCGCTATACCCTGCCGTGACACCATGTACGTATTATTAACGCAGCCAGGCGCGGAGAGTTCGAGCGAGTCACCACGAGCGGTGATAGTAAGGACGGCTTCACGACAATATCACTTTCAGCAGGTAATGCAACGTGTGATTAATTTTTTTATTAACGTTAATTGAGAAACTTTGATACAATAATAAGGGCTGCTTGCACCAACATTCTTGTTTTAAGTTAAGGTTTTATCTAGTCGGTCTAGAGAGCGTCACGGAAGGGAGTAGCCATAGCGACATAATAGTATCCAAATCATTCTGCCATTTGGGGGGGGGGGGGGGGGGGGTAGACACAAATGCAGTTTACGTTTTACGGAAACAAAACTGTAGCTACAACACTCGCATATAAACATTGACACAGTACACCGCCAAATCGTGCACACACATATCGTGAGTATGCCCAATGCGACAGAGGGGAAAGCTATGTATGTATGTCTGGCCTGGCCGTGTTGTCATCTATGTGTCGAACACATTTCATCTTTTATTGTTTTGACACTTACAAGATTCAAGCCCCAAACTAAGCATTTGAAAACATCCATGGCAGGTAAGAAATGCACTCGTTGATCACACAATCCCCCTCAGGAACTGTAACCTGGGGCCGCTGGCTTCGCAGTTAGAATCACTTACTGTTATACCAAGCGGGACGTCAATGGCTTAAACACAATTAGGGATAGATGATATGATTAGCTTTTAATTTATTTAAAGGACTTTGGTGCAAGTGAGTCTGAACCAGCGTTGCCAGTTTTTTTTTGCCAAGTCGGGATTTAGGAACTTTTTGAGTTAAAAAAGCGGGATTCTTTCGTTGAAAGCGGGACATAGTAAAAAAAACCTATATAATCAAAAGTTATTGAATGTTTATCTTCATTACTTGTCTGTCCACACTTTTCTGTGCCACCCGCCCGCGCTTTCTCAGTACGCTGCACGCACGGTCCAGTTATTCCCGAAAAGCGGGATTGAGGCTGTCCTGAGCGGGACATTAAATTTTGATTTAAAAATCGGGGCGTCCCGTCAAAATCGTGACGTCTGGCAACGCTGGTCTTGAGACTAGTTTAAGGTTGAACCTTAAACTATTAATTTGTTTTAGAGGAGCAAATTAAAGAAGTAGTTATTAGACAATAGTTCCTATTTCATAGCATTAATGGTGCAATTATACTTGGTCGCTAGCCCGAATACGAATGCCATGAAATTCGGGTTAACGACTAAATGTAAATGAACGGAGTCATGTACACCCGTATTCGGGTAGATTTCTTTTTGTTTACAAGACACCGTCTTCCAGCCCATATTCCAGTGTAAATATTGCTACGGTGGCCCGAAGTGTAATGTCTTCTGTGCACCCGAATACGGGCTAACGTAATTACAGCATAATATAATATGTACAGTCGTTTGCAAAAATACAAAAGCCACCTTTTAAATTTGTCGTGTTATGATTGTATTTTTTTTGGCTTAAGAATGCTTTCCAAATTATTTTCCTGATGATTTGCAGAATGTTTTATAATTACTTTGTTTTCTTAATACAAGCTGCTAAATATATTAATTGTAATTTAAGAAACTCGAATGCATTTTTATTTATGTCTGTATCTATGACATGTCACCGTACAAACAAATATCGTACAGCATTGCTGCGAAACTGCTATAAATTATGTTACGCCAAACGTTCAGAAAATTCAATATATTACTTAAACATGATACCATTGCTAACTCGCTATCTGTATATAGACAGAACATATTAAAACTGTACATTTCATCATACATAAATCGGTCTTCTAACATACAGGGATAGCTGAATATTAAAATGTTATAATAGATTAATCTAATTTTAAGATTTTTATTCTCAACACAGTATTTATAATGATTCAAAATGTCAGTCCAACTTTGTCGATAACACTAAATTTAATAGATTTATTAAATTATGCACGGAATTAACAAGGCATAATATAGTCTTAATTTGTCCATTTTTAAAACTTAACAGAGTTAACTTTTATGACGCTTATGTTAGGTTACTTTTCTAAGCCCACTGATTTGTACACCAAGTTTCATGACTTAAACAAAATGCGATTCAAACTTTTTGACTGTTACGAAGTTAAAAGCGAGTGCAACTCTGCACAGGTTTAAGTTAGTGACATTTCTCGCGCGCGCCTTTTTCACAGTACATTTCGTTTAGTGCGCCTCGCCTTGCGCTAAATTCACAGCTGCCATGAAGTTTGAATCGCACTCTACCTGAGTCATCCTCTTTTTCATACAGACTTAACGTACCGTTTCCCACATCAATATTATCAAAACCATAAAGGTATAAGAATAGCGTGGGGATGACGGCTCTAAAAGTGTCCGTCTAGTAGAAAGAGAAAGAATATGAGAGGCCGTTAGCTATCTCTCTCTCTTGTGATGAATGCGCAGTCGTCTGTCCAATAGTTGGTGCAAACATCACATCGAAATAGTAAGATGCTTGCGGTTGCCAATGCGCATGCACGATTAGAGAGAAAAAGCTACCGGTCTCTTATCTTCTTTCTCTTTCTATTAGAGGGACACTTCTACTTGTAGTAGAATCTATATCTCAAAACAGGTTCAATAAAGCAAGAGAGCGGTAAACGCAGCGCTGACTCCCGTTCAGGTGATATGCCGTCCAGCGCTAAACGGCGTCGCGTGGCCGATGAATCCGGCGACGACGTCAGCGAGCGGACTGTGGCCGATATTGTGGCCACCATCACCGACCCCAACTACATGTGCGGGCCCGATGTGAGTCCCATTACTTGTCGTGATCCGAACAGGAGGCCGATCGCTCTAAATGTCAAACGACTAAGTTGTAAATGTATCACGATTGGACCGTACTCCAGTGAACTTCAGCCAAAAATATAATGTAGATTTCAGTTGACAGGTAAAAATTGAAAATGTCTTATAAAGTTGAGATGCAATTGGAATTGGATAAGATTAAACCATAATAGAACTATCAAAATAATAAATAGTGCGATTGGCCTGCAGGTTCAGGTTTAGAGTAAGAGAGCAGGTAACTACGATGACGTCAGCGAATGGACTGTGGCAGATGATATAGTGGCCACCATTACCGACCCCAACACATGTAACGTGTGACAACAGCATTATGCGGAGGCAGGGTCCTGATGGACCATTTATATGCTATTAGTATTTAAGTTCTTAGAAAAAAAGATTTTGAATTATTCTTAATGGCTGTTTATCTTAATGTGATTTTGGTGTTTTCTCTCAAATATCTCCCCCCCCCCCTCTCATATTCTTGGTATTGCAAGCATCTATAGGTTAACCATCAGGCGGGCAATAAAAATTTAAGGGCACTATCAATATCATCATCATCATCATCAGCCTATGAATGTCCCCACTGCTGGGGCACAGGCCTTCCCTATGGATGGAATAGGGAGATTGGGTCATGACCAACGACTTAACGTGCCTTCCGAAGCACGGAGGAGCTCAAGATAGTAAATTTTTGGTCACCCATCCAATGACCGACCACTGCGACAGTTGCTTAACTTCAACGATCGTAGCCGAACGCGCTAACCACCTGCGCCATCGAGCTCCTCTCAATCAATATATTTTATGAATATTATTTAAGTACAATGTCTGCATGAGTTATAGAAAGATTTTCATTTTGTCAGGCTTTGTTCCAAATGCAAGCTCCCCGCGACGAGGCCGCCAAACTGGAAGAACAGCGGAAGATGATAGAATTCCACGTGATCGGCAACTCTCTCACCGGCGCAGTCAACAAGCAGACCATGCTGTGGCTCATAGGTAATTATTTATCCCACAGCATTAGATTGAAACAAAAAGGGAAGATACGGTACGTTCATACCAGCAGCCAATAAAATATGATCCGGCTCAACTACATAAGCAACTCTCACACACGCACACGTCTGTAAATAAACATCCAATTGAGCGAGCGAGACAGAACTGTACGCTTCAACAAAGCGCGAGAGAAACGGCGATTCCGCTTTGGAGTTTGAGTTCACTACTGTGTGCGTACACCTTATCATACTTTTTTTCCCGCGTACCGCTTCAACAAAGCGCGGCATCTCTTCAGTCTCAGGTCCATTAGACGAGCATTCAAACGAAGTCCTGTTTTTTTTCGATATGCCCGAAGCCCTAAGTCTTCATTTAACTCCGTTTTCACCGGGGTTAAGCAACCCCATCTGAAGGGCCAACAGTTTCTGCTTACGTTTGGGATTTCTTTGAATTCGCGCCTTCACAGCTTTTATCACTGCTGGAGTCCTAACAGACCGAGGGCGACCACTTCTTGACCTTTCATCTACACTAGTGTCTTCATTGTATCGTTTGATGGTACGATAAACGAATCTTTTGGTTATATTCAGATTTTTCAGTATGTCAAAAATTTAAATTGGCGCGTAACCGCAACGATGCAACGCAATAACTGCAACACGGTCTTCTTTAAGCGTCCGCTCCATATTTAAAAATGATTCTAAAAAGTATACATTTTTATTTTTATGAATAATTCGAAATTCGAATTCTATTAACTTTTTTGTGGCCAGCATTCTAAAAGAAAAGTTTTTACTGTGTGACAATACTTATGACCTGACTGTGTATTTGTGTTCTTTAAAAAAGCATCGAATTCATTGTTTTATCAACACAAAATATACGCAATATTGTAATATTGAGTGCACATGCAGCGTTTGTGAATGTCTAATTGGAGTTAAGCGAATTGTGGTCATGCACCACAATTTAAGCGAATCCCTTTTGAGCCTCGAGTGCCGTTTCTTCCCTTTTTGTTTTAATCTAAGTCCACAGCCTTTTAATGTCACAGGCCCTCCCTGTGTATGAAATATACTCCAATATATTTCCTACCACCCATTAAGGACATCTTTTAGCTGATAAGAAGAATTTGGGCAAGAAACTCATCAGCATTTAACGATGGCATAGGGACAATAGGCCATGTCCCCACTCGCCCGCCCAGTGTGGTTTGGTGAATGATAACGACTATAGAAGCAGCCAGGCTTAACGTGCCTTCTGAAAGACGAAGGAGCTCGAGATAATAAGTTTTTGGCCACCCATCCAATGAGTGGCCATTGCAAAATTGCTTAATTTCCACGATCGCAACTCTAACCACTTAGCCATTATGCTCCTAGAAATTATCTACGGATTAAAACAGTTCATTGACCTTTTATTACCTATTATAATAATTATAATACTTCACGATGTGTCCCGGGTGGGATAGGCAGAGAGGAACCTAACCTTTTATTGTTTTATCTATACCCATGAATTAAAACCGCTTTTAAAGATTCTGAAATAGTTAGCTTATTGCCAACATTAAACAACCAATGTCATAATATAAAAAAAACATTGTCGTTTACGAGCGCTTCACTATCGCGCTTCACTATCACGCTTCACTGTCATGCTTCACTATCGCGCTTCACAATGTTTTTGTGTTAATTTCAAGAATTTTAAGTTCTTAGAACGCCTCATGATTTCAGAATCTTTTATACAGTATCATATCATGTGTGTAGATAAAGTTTTGTATGCAACTGTTATAATAAGGTATTAAAACACTTCTGTGATACTATTATCACACGAGGATTCGTGTTTTAATACCGTTTAACCATTAATAGTACACCAATTGCATAAATAACTATTATTTAATTCGGGATAACGTTTTTATATTAAAGTAATTTATGTTATTTACGGGATTGTTACCATGTACCTTGTTTTTAGCGAGTTTCCGTTATTTCGGCACTGTTGTTTAAATTGTCGAGTATCCGGAATCCTGTGGTTAGTATGTGTAAAACCCGAAATAATCAAAAGAGTGTCGTGTCGCGATCGGATATTGTAAGTGTTGTGTGTCGAGAACAGGAGGCCTACTCTATTTCAACGAAAAACGAAATTTTGCACGTTCCTTACTCTGTTTCTATTTCATTTCGAAAATTCGTTCGTCCGAAAATAGTTTGACATTTAAATTCTCTAAGCCTACTCTAATTCACAAAACTTTTGAAATAAAATTTGAATTTCACAGATAATTGTTCGAAATTTTAACCTCAAATTGACGAAATGAAAAGTGTTACCTTTTAATTTTCGTTTTGGGATTTTTGTTTAAATTAAACCTAAAATTACTATTAGAGTATTTTTAATAAAGGCTTAGCGTGAGAAACATTTTTTAGTATTAAAGATTTACAAATAAATCTAATTTTTGTTTATTATTGTATCGCCAATACTTCAAAATGTTACACGACCAATTTAGGTTGACATACATTCGATTGCATCAACTCTACAAATTAGTCGGCTAACACTGTCAGAAGAGGTTGTTTTAATGTAATCAAAAATTTTGTCAGTAAGTAATATTGTTTTGGAGTAAAAAACTTTATCTAAAAAGTGTAGACGAAAAGAACTAACTCATTCCTTTCGTTCACGATAATTGTCTGTGATTCCGAACTTTATGTGCGTGTTTGAAGCTGAAATAGAGTAGAGTCACTTGCGAAATTTCGTTTAAAATTCGTTTGTTGCCGAAATTTCGTTTCGGAGAAAGAGAGTAGAACTCCAGTTTCGAGTGAATAGTGAAACTGTGTGACGAAAAAGACTTTGTCGGAGGGTAGACCGATATGTCTGCCAATAACAGCCTACCCGCAATTACTTAAGTTACTCCGTGATCATGGCTCTTGCAACAGTGCCGAAATATCGGAAACTTGCCAAAAACAAGGTACATGGTAACAATTCCGTAAATAACTTATATTACTATAATGTTAGTGACCATGAAATTTTAAAACGATATAACGTTTTTAAAGCCGTCTGACAATGTTGTTATCCGTTGTTCGGGATTGCATGACGGTCGAAGGATTCCTTGGTTATAAAAACAGATACTTTGTCTTCACACAACTTTTTTTAATGTGATGATGGCGTTCATTTTAAGCTTTGAGGGAATATAAAACTGATTTGAAAAAAAGTATATGGTAAAATTTCTGACAACGCATTCCTGCAAAGGGTGCGAAACGTCAATAAATAAATAAAGTCAGTGCATCTAACCCGTTGAAACTTGTTTTATTTCATTAGTAAAATACAATACTGAAACGCTCCCGATTGGTGCTCTACCAAATGTCATGGTGTGCGATATTATGAATTGGTTGCGCATGCGCAATCCACGTTTGTCTATGGTTGATTTTACGTTTAGTTTTGTTACAGGTCTCCACAACGTTTTCTCACACCAACTTCCGGAAATGACCAAAGAATACATATCCCAACTGGTTTTCGATCCGTAAGTATCTTAATAAAGCTTTAATATAATTATAAACATTTATTGACTTTAAGCAAGTTACAATGTACAATATTTTAAAATTGATAAGACTAAAATTGGTGACAATAAAACAAAATAACAGGAACTGTCAATAACTAACTGCAGCCGTATTTGATTACACAATAAAGTGTTCTAATTATTTATTTAACATTCTGTGTCCTCGTAATCCATACCTTTAAGACATTTGCTAACTTTTATTTTGCAGTTATACATTGTAAGGACTACTATATAATAAACCCTTTTATAATATTTATTTATTTATTTTTGTTTCTAGAAAGCACAAGACGTTAGCATTAATTAAAGAAGGAAGACCGATCGGCGGAATCTGCTTTAGAACATTTAATTCACAGGTTAGTATTAGATTACACGAGGCTCAGATTTAAATAATTTATTACCAGTGTACCCTTTAGCCATGAAACTCGACAAAATTAAACGAAATGAAATCTTTAATTTAATTAAAAAATATATATATATATACAGTGTAAATTCTTAAACCATCAGATTTTAAACATTAATAAGTATTTTTTAAGCATTTTCTTAACTTCCAGATGTTTTATTCTTAAGAATTAAACGCGCTAACCACTTGCGCCATGTAGTTCCTCGTTTTTTTTAACTATTTTACAATACTTTTATCGTTTGTCTAGGGTTTCAGCGAGATAGTGTTTTGCGCGGTGACATCAAACGAGCAGGTGAAAGGTTACGGCACCCACCTCATGAACCACCTCAAGGACTACCACATAAGGAACAATATCCTGCACTTCCTCACCTTCGCTGACGAATTCGCTATAGGTGAGGCCGATTTTTATTTAAATTTTCAAATATAATGTTCATATGTTTGCCATAATTTAGTCTCATAATACTTCATAACTTACTAGTCTTAAAAGTTTGTTATTTTTGTTAGGAACCGATATTTACTTTCATATTTTCCTCGCCTTAATGTGAATTTATCGTTCCCTAACAGGTTACTTCAAGAAGCAAGGCTTCAGCAAGGACATAAAGCTACCACGAGCGATGTACCAGGGCTACATCAAGGATTACGAAGGCGCCACTCTAATGCACTGCGAGCTCAATCCTCGCATCGTTTACACCCAGTTTACATCTGTCATACGAAGGCAGAAGGAGGTAATATAACCGTTATAAACAGGTTATATAAATGAGGATATCAACCGATATACCAGGGCTACATCAAGGATTACGAAGGCGCCACTCTAATGCACTGCGAGCTCAATCCTCGTATCGTTTACACCCAGTTTACGTCTATCATGCGAAGGCAGAAGGAGGTAATTTAACCGTTATAAACCGCTTATATAAGTAAGGAAATCAACCGGTGTACTTTGGCTACATCAAGGATTACGAAGGCATCACTGTAATGCACTGCGAGCTTAATCCTCGCATCGTTTACACCCAGTTTACGTCGGTCATACGAAGGCAGAAGGAGGTAATATAACCGTTATAAACAGGTTATATAGTCAGGAAATAAAGTGACAATGAGTAAAATAATAAGTGTTACGCAGACAAAAGAAGGTACTTTAACAATATAAATATTTTACAAAAATATGGAATGTGGTGTAGACATGATTTTGTTTAATAGAATTGATATAAAAACTTTGGTGTAAACCAGCCTTTAATTTTTAAAAGTGTAAGGCAGTTAGTCTACATTGAATGTATGGCAGTATCGCTTCACATAATAAACATCAGTATTACGTTTCTCTTACAGATTGTTAAGAAGCTCATCGATATGCGACAGAAGGAAGTTAGAAAAGTACACCCGGGTCTTACTTGTTTCAAAGATGGCGTAAGTTTTTTTTTTATAATAAAATTGATATTACCACATCTTGTTGTATTTGAATAAAGTGGTGCTTTCTGCTCCTAATTCAAATTGCAATAAAATTTATACCCAAACCTTTTTGTTTAAAAAATAATTATAATTGAAGTGAAAATTTTAATAGGAATAATTATACAGGACGTCCGTCGTTTGCAAGTCCGAAATGTCATTGTCAAATGTGTACTGATTTTTAGTTCTCCTTAAGTACTCTGTGCCGCTACTGTTCAAGTTTCCATACAAATTTTCACATTGACATTTCGGTTTGCAAACTATTCGAATTCGATAATTCGATAATAGTTCACGAACCAATATAGAATTCGAATCGTTTGCGAGTCCGAAATGTCATTGTCAAATGTGTACTGTTTTTAATTATCGTTACGTACTTTGTGCCGCTGCTGTTCAAGTTTCCATACAAAATTTGACATTGACATTTTGGTTTGCAAACTTTCAAGATTATCATAGATCTTCGATCCAGAGTGATGTATTCAACCCAGTCACTTGCTCAGACTGTCATACTAGCAGTTTTATTGATAAATAATAAATAAAAATAATCCAAATTTTTTATCAAATACTGGCAGCACTCATTGAGCACTAAATTATTAACCGTTGATTATCATAGATCTTCGATCCAGAGTGATGTATACAACCTGGTCACTTGCTCAGACTGTCATACGAGCAGTTTTGATTGATAAAAAAAAAACATTTTTTTTATCATATACTGGCAGCACTCATTAAGCACTAAATTATTAACCGTTGATTATCACAGATCTTCGATCCAGAGTGATGTATTCAACCCGGTCCTTTGCTCAGACTGTCATACTAACAGTTTTGATTAATAAAAAATAAAAAAAATCCAAATGTTTTATCACACATTGGCAGCACTCATTGAGCACTTAATTATTAACCGTTTATTATCAAAGATCTTCGATCCAGAGTGATGTATTTAACCTGGTCACTTGCTCAGACTGTCATACTAGACCGGACACGGATGCTTCGGTTACTACTTGTACCGTATCGCCCGCCGGGAAGAAACGCCGCACTGCGGCGTCCCGGACGAAACGACCGAGCACACCTTGTTGGAGTGCTCGGCCTGGCTACAGCAGCGCTGCGACCTAATCGCGGCGCTGGGAGGCGGAACCGTCTCGCTGAGGAGCATGGTAGAGGCCATGCTCGGTAGCGAGACGGCATGGATAGCGACTGCCTCCTTCAGCAAGAACGTCTTCTCGTAGAATGAGGCAGCCGAGAAGGAACGGGAGGATGATCCCCTGGCCGCTCCCTCCCGCCAAAGAAGAGTGGGCAGGAGAGGACGAGTGTGCGCCCGTCCCATGACCCTGCCCGTAGGGATCCCGAGCTGGCCGCAGCTACACTGACATATATATAGAGTTGACATGATCTTCACATACACGAGACCTAAGTGGAATATCCAAAGACTGATGTGATTGGCTAAGTCGTGTGAGGCGGGTCGTTACGTTCCCTAAAATATGGTTGAGCGAAGCGATGGCTGGTTCATGCGTCATGCTCGTGAACGGGTGCTGCCAGCGGAGATGAGTCTGCCCTAACTACTTTGATATTTAAGATATAAATGTTTAATTACACCTATTATAAATAACTCTGTTTGTATTTATACTGTGTGACACAGCAATCAAAATGCAGGTGTACAATTAATGTATAATTTCACATTATGTAATGAAGGGTGACTTCATGAATCATCTCTGAAGTCATTTTTCAACTTGACGACTCTGTAAATGATAAAACAGGGAGAAAAAAACAGCCCTTGCTGAGTTTCTTGCCGGTTCTTCTCAGTACAAGGTCTCCCGCCGTAGATTTACGAACCGATGGCGTAGCTTCTAGACATTCATATGTGCTTGTAACAGCCTAAACTGAATAAATGATTTTGATTTTGATTTTGATTTTTGATAAGGCGATCAAACCAGACAAAAAAGGGTCTGTTAAACCGTAATTAACTTAAATGGTATGTTTTAAACAACAATTCATACAAAAAAGCACGTAAGATTTTATGATATGAATTTACGATTATTCTATTTTAAAAAAAATCATATCTTGGCTTCGGTGTACTTTACAGATATATGGCCTTAATATTTTATTTTTAATTTTTTTAATTCTTTTCATTAAAAAATAAAGCATTCGTGGCCGCAGACTTTGAAAATCAAGCCACTTTTACCCAAACCCCTTTCAGGTTTTGGCACTAAATTAGCACTAAATAAACACTAATTGATGCACATTTTTTTAAGCGATTCTGCTCGCTTTGCCATGCTAGCTTAACTCATTTTTACAATCAGAAGATGATTACGTACCTGTGTTATGTACCAATGGCTACTTAAATGATTATATAACAGAAATTAAAATATGAATATATACGTAATCATCGATTTTAATTTTTCATTTTACCAATTATTTCTCTATGACAAAATATATTATTTAAGTATTCTGTATTCGGCCGAATAATATGTAGATATTCGGCCGAATATAATAAAAGCAGCCGAATAGGCCGAATACTGAATAGTAACCGAATATTCGTTGCAAGTCTAGTTTTTAGTAAAATTATGACTATTTTTTTTGTAAAAATAGTAAAAACCCCTGCCAATATTCAATCTCAACACAAATGCTAACAATTGGCACTTTATTTTTAATACTGTCAAATACCCTATTATCCCCTCACAATCCCAAAAAACAGTAGCCATCAACTTTCCAGCCGACTCCGAAAATTTCTTTGGCGGTGGTTGCTCCCTTTTTATGCCATTGCATGGACTCTTGTTTGGACTCAGGCTCAAAGTGATGAACCTATATTTCACCTCCGGTAACAATCCGCTCCAAAATCTGTGCAGGTTCGTCTCCACACAACTCCAAAAAATGTTTTGACGCATCGACGCCGTTTCTAAGGCGGCGTGAGCATTCTCGGTACCCATCTTATTCCACTGACTTTTATCATACCCACGGTCATGTAGGATTCGCAAAATTTAATGTGTGAAGCAAAAAATAAAATTTACGACTAACGTTAGCGACGTGAGTTGTCCATGAGAGTTCGGAGTCAATTTGTTGTGTGTTGTATATTATTTACATTCCGTTGGGTATATACAGGTGCGCAGTATTCCCGTGGAATGCATCCCGGGACTGCGGGAGACGGGGTGGCGTAGTGCGGCCCGCGGTCCCGCGTTAGATCCCGACTCCGATGCAGATTTACCCGCTCTAAGGCAGATATTACACCAGGTAAGTATAAACGAAAAAAAATATTACGAAGCAATTAGTTTAAAATGACAAAAAACAGCTTAGATTTGGATTGATCTCAGATTCGCAGTGTGGTTAACCCCTATTAATACTATATCGCAAATTGACTAAATCCGAATAGATTATTCCATGTGAACTGTATAATATAGTGTAGAAAGCGATTCGAATTTCTAATGACATCTCAACTTGGTTCCAGGTAAAGAACCATGCGGCCGCGTGGCCGTTCCTGAAGCCCGTGGACAAAACAGAAGTGCCCGATTACTACGACCACATCAAATATCCCATGGGTGAGTATCTACACGACACGATATAACACATATCTTTCAAATGCCAGTCCACCCCATGGAGGTTAGAGAGAAGGAAAAATCCCGACTGTCACCTGAAAATTTGTAGAATTTATAGTTAATTTTTCAGCCATCAAGCGCTGCCGTCGGAAAGTAGTATCAGTGAAGTTAGCTGTTTATGAGTACAAAAAGATGAAGTTAGTTGAATAATGTACAAATTCAAATTAACGCACAACAGCCCGCTTTTATTGACACAACTTAGCGATCGCAACGCCTCACTTATATTGTCCATATTTCTGGGACACTATTTTCTACAGCGATCGTTCTGCTTCTCTCTAACCTCCATGGTCTATCCTATTTCCTTTTTTACTTACTTTTCTCGGTGAAAATTTTATAGCCTTTAGTCCTGATTTTCTATCTTGTTACATTCGCTCCAATGGATGTACTATCTTTATAAAGAAAACTGTACCCTTAGCACGAACCACTATCAAATTCGAATAGTTTGCGAGTGCCAAATTGGCACTGTCAAATTTTGTATGGAAACTTGAACAGCAGCGCCACAACCGACGTAACGAGAACTAGAAATCAGTACAAATATTACTTGATCGAATTTAACTATTCGAATTCGATAATGGTTCGTGCATAAGGTAGTGATAACTACAAAAACCAACACTTTCGAAACTCGAGCTCGCCTCTTACATTTTAAAGTTTATTTTACTTTGTAATATGCAAAGAAGCCCTACGTTTGTCATTGTGGGATACCTACAATGCGAAGATGGTGCTGCCTTGCAGCCTAAGAAATAGTAGAAAGAATTCGACACGGCTATTAGTGCCGTTGTAGCATAATGGTCATTGCATCCGCCTGTATAGCAGAGGGTGCTGGTTCGAGTCCCGTCTGCCACCTGGTCCGCGTGACATACCAAACATCTAACAGTTAATTGCTTAAAAAATAAAAATGTAACTATGTTGATGATTATATATTTTTAAGCCATTTAACTGCTGTATTTTGAATTTAATTTTGCTAGAAAAAATTGAACGTGGACAAGGCAGCGAACCCGCAATATAACTACAATTGCGATTTATTCTTTTAAATGTTTAATAAAGTTGTAAAGGTTTTCCTTTGTCATGGTGCGTTACCTACAATGCGAAGAGATGACGCTGCCTTGCAACGCAAGAAACACTAGAAAATATTCAACACGGCCATTAGGGCCGCCCTAAACTTAGGTTGATGGTGTATAATATTGCATCTTTCAGACTTACGCACGATGGGCGAGCGGCTCAAGTCTCGCTACTACGTATCGAAGCGGCTGTTCATCGCCGATATGACGCGTATATTCACCAATTGCCGCTTATACAACTCACCTGATACAGATTATTACAGGTAAAAAGCAAACTTTACTAAAGGTTCTCTATTCAATTGTAACGTGTGAGGGGCCATCCATAAATTAAGTCACATTAACGAAGGAAAGGGTGTCGGCAAAGTTTGACATAATGTAACAAAGGGTTAGAGATCAACAATATTAAATAACCTAGATACACCACAAACGGTCAAAATGAGTCCCAACCAAGAAGTGCTTCAACACCACTCAAGCACTTCTTGGTTCACAGTCACGCGCGAGCCGTTGAAAAGTCAAGTTGCCGCAGAGCTCCGTGAAAAAATGCGAGAAAAATACTTATAGTATCTAAAGTGTCGTTTTTTCGACAGGTATCAAATCAGTGTTTGTTAATTTAACGCATTTGAAGCAAATTTTATACTGATTTACTATATAATATACTGATTTAATAGAAAATATTTGCGATATTCAAATGCATGGTCAATAACATAGCCGTCTCTTTTCCTCGCGGTCGGTATCTGCTATATTGCTAACAGCCCATTCAGAATTGCGAGTCAAAGAAATAAGGTTATATTGTTCCGCATATAGCATTAAGTCATAAAATTTTACGAGCTTGCATTTCGAACTGTCATAAATCTGATGCATGCGTTTTAATTAAGACCTTATATGGTATAAATTAAAGGTGATTTTCAATGTTTATTATTTTAACATTGAATATAGCCTTATATTGTTTTGGACAACGCGATCATCTTACTAGGAGCTCCGTGGATCGTCCAACGTACCTTTTGGACAGGTTTCGGGCACGACTTTGTTCATGTTGGTGTATCTAGGGTTTTTAATATCGTTTTTAGAGATACGTTTCAAAATCTATATTAACGCCCGAACGTCATGCTTTCCCAAGCCGCATATTCATTTTTGTATACAACTGTGTATACACAAATGTTGCCTAATGAATATGCGGCTTTATAAACAGTATTTGACAATGTTTCATCAGCTCCATATACACTCAAGAAATTGTTTATAAACACATTGATGCATGTTGCCGTGTTCTTTATTCTGAATGGAGAGCAAGACGAAACATTTAGTTTATAAACAATAGTTGACAGGTGTAGACATGTGTTGCGAGAGGTCGTAGTCTTGTCCAATGTCCAAATTTAGATACCCGTACTTCTAGTATGATCCTGCTGATTAATTGTTTTGTTGCTTTAAAATTATATGACAGTGAGACATACTCGTATGAGTAACCATGTTGCAAAAAATCTTAAAAGCAATAGCTAATCTTCGCTGGAGCTGAATAGGATTCTTCGTTTCCTGTCTTGTTATTGATGGCCTAATCAATCGCAATAATATTTCATGGTTTGACATTCTAGTGAAGTTATGAAAAGACCCACGAAGCAGTGTTGGGCAAAATGTAATTAACTTCAAATTAACAATTTCAATTATAAATTGCAATTGGTGACTTTAATTACGAATTACTTGAAATTATTGAAATGTAATTCAATTAACAATTAGCAATTGTAATTGTTAATTGGTATTACTCAATTACTTATATATAATCTCTTTTATAGACGAGGTAGTATTTTAAATAAAACTATTATATTATGATTTATCAAATGTTTATTTACGAAATAAATCAGATAAATTGTGTAATCATAACCATCTTTTTTAAAATTAAGACAATAAATGTTTAATTTATTTTAAATTAGACATTAATACTACTCTTTGTTCAAACATTTGATCAGAAAGTTTGTAAGATTTTGGTAAGTTAATCATTGTAGCATATGACAACAATCAATCGAAATAAAGGCGCACGCCGCCGAGAGACTAGAAAAGGGATAGGTAGCTGTAATACTGTAGGTACTGGTATCGAGGCACACACTTATACACTCATAAATTCATGGTAAGTTATACACTAAAACTTTGTTTGTGTTGTGCTTGTTGTGCTGCGTACGGGTATCAAGCTAATGACCGCTCAATTTTAGTAGTTTATTATGTTACCCTTAAAAAGTAATTGAGTAATTTGAATTACAAACTAATGTAATTTAAATTACTTCGGACGTAAGTAGTTGATATACAGTAATTTCAAATACATGTAATTTCAATTAAAGTAATTCAATTACTATTCATTGAATTAGTAATTAAATTACAAAAGTAATTAATTACGCCCAACACTGCCACGAAGGTCATCATATACATAGCTTCTATTTAAAACCATCACCTTTTCATATTTTTTCCTGTCTTACTCTTTTGAATTAGTACGTAAGTAGAGCAATACTACCTCCTAGCAACAACTGACTAGTGTAAACGGCAAAGTTTGAGAAACATTTTTTACGGTAAACTTGTTTATAAACAATGTGATGAACTTCATTAATAGTTTATAAACAAATGTTTCCTAATGAGTACGCGGCATTATTGTTGAAGCTTGAGTGCGGTGTAATATCAAAATCTGTGACGTAACACTGGGGGATCTCAAACGTGAACAGCTGTGACAAGGGTAAAGAGGGATGGGTCAAAAATCGTGAAATGTATGTGAAAGTAAAAAAGAAAGAGCGAAATGCTTACTTTTTTATATAATCGCTCTCTAATAACTTGGAACTCATCATCCGATGCACTCAACCAGTATATATTTCTTTCTAATTCCTTGCCACAGAATACTTCTCACTGGCCTTGTCTCAGCCACATAGCAGTGTCCTCTAAAAAACAAAAAATAATTCTGCTTTTACGATTTTAGATGCGCAAACACACTAGAGAAATACTTCCAGACCAAAATGAAGGAGGCAGGTCTATGGGACAAATGATCCCCGCCATACGACGACGACAGCGACGAATCCAGCGACACCTAGAATCCTTAATTCGAACTAACGTTTATCATCATCATAAGACGATCCACACTGGGCCCACGGGTTATGGCACGATTACACGAGGTCGTTACTCCGAATAGTATTTAATTTAACTTGACGAACATTTTTATACATATATATATTTAGAAGATTATCATCATATTTTGTATTAAAATAATATTTTCTAAATGCTGTTGCTGTTACATAATTTTGTTTGAAGTTGTGCTGATTTTTCGCCTTTTCCTTCATAACAAAAGAATCATAACGAGTAGAAGGAAATAAACACATTTTGGAACTACGCTAAAAAGTGCTTCCACGCAAACTGCGGTCAAGAGGGCGGGGCGAAAAAATGCGATCAACACCGATCATGGGATTGGTTGGGATTTCCGTTTACCATTATCTTACTCAATGAATGGATAGCCGAATTCATTTGCAGAGTTATTTGATTTGTTAAAATATTTATGTTTGTCTGTGTGCGCTTAGCGTTAGCGCTTAAGGGACCCATGTTTTAGCGGCCTTTGTTATGGCGCGATTACACGTGTTCGTTAGCCCGAATACGAGTGCGAATGTAATTCGAGTAAACGACTAAGTGTAAATGAACGCAGTCGAGTACGTCCGTATTCGGGTAGTTTTCGTTTTGGTTACCCGACACCGTCTTGCAGCCCGTATTACAGTGTAAATATTGCTTCGCGTGCCCGAATTCGAGTAATGTCTTTCGTGCACCCGAATACGGGTTAACGAGACAAAAAGCATATATGAGCCATTAGGTTATGGCCCATATATGCTTTTTGGTCCATTAGAAAGCCCTGTGCCCTAACAGCGAGGTGATGATGATAGATGATAATCATTAAGATCTAGGCAATACGATTACTGCTAAATCCATAACAAACACAGTTGCTTACCACTCCATGGCTGCGTTCAAAACCTACCTTTACATAAATGTCAAAGTTGACATTAGCTTCATATATTTTATGTTTAAATTTAAACGTTAGGTAAAAACTTACACTCGGAGCGTAGTTATTGAACGCAGCCCAGCGAAAACCGTATCAAACTTTTTCCATAAAGTAAGCCTAGCTTTTTCTTCAATCATTTAATTGAAAGCGGTATTGTGTTTTCGATGGAGACTTCAAATCGCAATATTAGGTGAAGTCAGGACATTAGAAATCAATGCAGTACCCTACTATAGAGAAAATAAAATATAGGTATGGGTAAACTTCTTGAGCCAAACCACAGACAAATAAACTTGCATAGTAGAGGTTTTTGTATGTAAAATTGCTATTGCCTATGCTTCCTTTTCTATGGTCGATGCCCAAAAAGTTTGCCGGTGATTATGACTCTGTTACTTTTCTAATAGCTAATATTGAGATTTGACATCGAAATCATCAATCATCAATGAGATCTTGGCTGCTGTTACAATAGGATCAGTGGTGTTATTTAGCTGGTCGTTTATTCGTTCATAAAATATATCACATTAAGTTCCTGTATTCGTCTTTCTGATCCTTAATGGTTTGTCATGATAAAATAACAATAGTAGGCGTTGCATTGCTATGATTTAAGTTGGGATTAGAGAAAGGATAATATATTATGTACCATATTACTTGTAAATTTGAGGTGATGAGAACTAAATGACACCAGAGTATTATCAACATCTCTATATAAGGAAATATTACTTATTACATTAGTAATTAATATTTAATTGAAGCTAAACGTCTATTTTCATTAGTAGTTTATTGTGTAGGCATAAATTCAAGGCCATTTTCTATGTGTAAACAAATGCGTGTCACAGATAGTTGTCACGAAATTAATTTTAAGTCATTTTGTAAATTAAGATAAAACTATGCATATTGGAGAGATGATTATGGAAATGATAGGCTGTGCAGATTGTTGAAACTCGAGCGTTTGTTTACGGTCAAATAAAAAGACTGAGTTCTTGTAGTGTAGTAGAATCATCGTAAATAAGTTTTTGTCATAAATTAGATTAAGGTTTTTAAAATGTAAATAAAAAAAACATAAATTATGTGCTTATGAAATAATAATTTGAAACGATTGTTAGTAAAGTTTAAGACAAATCTTTGCCCAATGTTTGATTGAAGTTTGTGTTATATGGTGTATTTTATGTAAATATTGCAAATTAGAAAATACAGGGTGTTGCCAAACCAATACTTGATTGGTAACACCCTCTCACGATCAATTGTTGTGAAGCACCCTTAGTAATTTAGTAATGTAAATGTATGCTTCTGTTCGCTTTTGAAATGTAATGTTTCGCGATACGGTGTATATCACGTTTTTATCACGTACATTTGTAGATGTGATAAAACCATGATATGTCATCATATCGCGGTGCTCGCGGGTAGAACGAATTGCAAATAAAACAATAATCTCAATACTGTTTTGGTTTTTATTTAACACTTCATGTACACACATGGAGTACTTCGAATATTTTCAAGAGGGGAATGTAAACATTTTTACAAAATTAACTGTTATTAAAAGTACATACCAGTCTCCTTGTTAATATAAAATCCAATGGATTTCTCTTAGTAAGTATCTTAATGTTACAGTGTAAGTTATAACTTAAATGCTCACTTATAATACTTAAAATATAATTTTAAACTTAAAAGTAAAGTTTGAACCGATACGATCGTTTTTTAATACAATTTCAGTTATATGTATATATTATTTTATAGAGTAAAATTGTATTTAAAATCGACGTAAATTGAGACTAGATTTCATAACTACCGTTTTCTCTGAGTCACGAAATTAGTGTTTTAATTGTAAGTTATAACTGAACGCTCTAAACAACTGTATATCGAAGGGTAATATTCAAACTTATCTCTGAAAAGAATGCACCAGGAATCCGTGACATTTGGGTAAATAGTATTTACCCTATTACATATTATTTACTAAATACAAACACACTATCACTTAACACAAACCAAAAATAAATAGCAGGGTCTGATAAATATAGTTCATTTATGTTAAAATACAATAATGTTTAAAATAAGTTCGTGATATCACGCTACAAATAGCTGACAATTTTAACTGATGTAAATTATATTATAAATGTTTATTTACAATGGGCCACGTATAGAGGGCACCGCGATTATCACAAACGATTAGTAATATTAATGTATATAAAAAGACTACCCACAAGTTAACTGCAGTGTACAATGGACGAACATGTCCTCTATCTGCTGTGTTACTGGCAATATTGACAGGAGAAACAGGTTATAAAATCACATAGTTATTAATTATAACTCGGGTTACCAAAGAAAGAATCGGAAATGCCGACGCAAGACATTCTGTCTCCCTCTCACGTTACTTAGGAAAGCATGTGCGAGAGGGACAGATTGACTTACGTCGCCATTTGCGATTCCTCTTCTTAATGACACGAGGTATATCAGGGTTATTGTTTAATATAACACTTGAATCTGTTTCATAACCGGATAAGGGTAGGAAACATCAAGACTTTAGTTAGAATTCAATTAAACGCTAACGTTATAACCCGTTCGAGTGTTTTACTAAATCGTAACAGCATTATTGCTTCAATATTTTACATATTTAACTGTTAGTATAGAAGAACAGCCATTTGGTTAGGGCAGTGTTGTTATGTGGAATAAATTGTCGTACATCACATAATCACAAATATAATCGCATGACTAAGTGCAAGCAATTATCACCTTTATTGTGGCTGTCTGACAACTTCTTCCAGTTTACAGTTGGCATCGGAAATATTGTAACAAGCAGAGTGATCAGGAAGAAATTACATTTAATATATGATTAAAGGTGTGTTGAGTCATATCTCTTATTTTATATATATTTAATTGGTTCTTTACGTTAAGTAACCAAAAATAAGACACATTTCTTATTATGTACATAACCGAAGCGAAGGTAATGTTTCTTGTGTAAATGTTCTAAAAGATCTGATCACTTTGTCTGCTCAATATACACATTTAAGGTGATTTTCTAACTAGCAATATGGCCCCCATAGCTATATATAATTAATTAGCGTTACATATTCACAACATATTGTATATGATAATTTTATATCGAATTTAGAAAATATTTGACATACTCCAAATAATATTGCTTTATTATGGCAGTTATAATTCATCACTTCGATTCTAGCCTATTTTATTAATTTGCAAATAGTGAAATAGTTGACTGAATTACATAAGAAAAATGGAAGATACTGAAACGGTTATTTACCCACACATTCCCCGTTATTATTAAACGAGGAATAAGCTTAGACTAGTTACGCTGTGTTTTGTTCATATCACTCAAATGTCAATTATAATTCAATGAACATGAAGTAACTAATCCAGGCTTATACTTAGTTTACTAATAAGGGAGTCGAGTTTAATCTAATTACACAACAGTAATCATGGACGGATAACACTCCAGATACTAATTAGCAATTCTCAAAGGATTATAATGTTTATTAATCAAAGTTTACATTTTAACGGTATCAAGTTCAACTTTTCGGGGCCCACTAAGATAAAATTTATTTCATTAACAATAAGAACACAGTTCAAAATTTACATTTCAACACTTCATATAATATATTTACGAGATCATCAACTAAAATAAGTTCATATTAAGTACAGTGGCTTAGATCATAACCGTAATAATTCATAGTGATAGCAACACATTTCAACAAAAGTCAACGGTGTTGCCATACTCTGGGTAAATATTTTTAAGTTTGAATGAACACACGAATGTTGCCACTGCCTGACATTGATTTGGTATAAAAATAAGCACGTCGGCGTCTTATGATTTACTTCTGTTTGTTTTAAAGAACACTATTTCGTGGACTAGGCGGAGGAGCGGGTTCCTTAAACTACTTAAAATAAAAAAAAGTCCTTAACCAAATTATCACTTGTCATCCACATTCACTGGAAGTTTGCAATTTTTTTTTTGAGTATTTTTTATAGTTTTCTTTTTCACTTTTCACTCATAACCAGGATTCGGGTGTCACTCGCGTCAACAACACACACACAGTTACAGTTAGGACATTTGGCACAGTGGTGTCTGATTGGTAGTTTTCCTCAGTCCAAACCCTCACGGTTGGCTTCTGAGCTGGTCAAAGCCTCCTGCCTTGAGGATTCACCTCTCGTGCCGCCAGATAACGAGGACGCGCAAGATCTGTATACAATGAATCAATTATTATTGTACATATATATACAAAGTACCTATAATTTGAGAATGAATAATTTTTGTGATTTGTCAAAACTTAAATCTTAATTATTCTTGATTTTATTTAACAATGTTAACGTTTTTTTAGTAATATTTATGTTTAATTTTAGAATTGTTTTTGAAGATAGCCTGGCAAAATAGGTACCTGATTTTAACAAGTTACAGACACAATAATAATTTATGCTTCTGAATATTATTCCTTTCAATAATAAAATTATCAATTATTCCATGATGTGGTTGGAATCGAAAGCTGTAATAAAAAAAAACAAGGAATTAGATGCTAGATCAAGAATATAAAAAATATCAGCCAGCTATAACATAAATACGAAAGAGAACTGCAATTATCTACCATTGGTAGACCACACAATAGAGACAGTAAATACTACGTTTGGCCGCCATATGATAGCTCTTTCGTTCTTTTTAGAAAGTGATAGTATGAAATGCAGGAGAGTAGTCAACATATTGATATAATTAGGGTAACCTATACATTAGTTATTATTAAATAAACCTATATTTATAAATAAAATAATAAACACGATATCTTTTTATTATTCTTTGATGGCAATTCTTCAATTTTTTACTGAAAATTGAAGAAAAAGAAGATAGAAAACTTATAATGAATTTACTACAGATAAACATATAAATCGAGGAGCTCGATGGCGCAGGTGGTTAGGGCGTTTCCCCTGCAATCGTTGAAGTTAAGCAACTTTCGCAGTGGTCGATCATAGGATGGGTGACCAAAAATCTTCTATCTCGAGTTCCTCCGTGCTTCGGAAGGCACGTTAAGCCGTTGGCCCCGGCCGCTGTGATGGGTCATGACCCAATCTCCCTATTCCATTCATAGGGAAGGCCTGTGCCCCAGCAGTGGGGACATTAATAGGCTGCCAAACCATACGTTGACAAAAAAAAGTGCCTTTGTCCTTTGATGGATGAGAGATAACATAAAACAAATACGATATACATTTAACTTCACTGTTCTAGCTGTCGATTAGATGTTTGAACAAAATAATACATACTAGGGACTATACCATGAAAGATATAAAACATTTGTAAATACTATATACATATATCAATTGCAATAGGGTATATTACAAACTCCCCCAGCAGTGGGGACATTAATAGGCTGATGATCATTATCATTAAACAAATGAAGAATTCCGCTTCAAGGACCAATAGACTATAGGGGATGGGTTTAAGAGGAAATAGCCTTTATTCTACATTACCTATGTGGTGTCGCATTTGCAGCCGGTAATGAAGGCACGAGCTCATCGGGCGAAGAGGCGCGACTGCTGCGAGCGCTACCTGCCTCCGAGTAAGAGTTGTCACTCGACAGCTGTTAAACAAAACAATTCTATAATAATGTCAGTGCATTCGCCTGGATAGCGAAGGGTGCGGATTCAATTTCAATTAAGTTCAATTCATTCATTTATTTGCATCACAAATTAATACATGTTCACTGCAGACATAGATGATTATAAGTTCTTAAATATCAAGTCTAAACTACAGTCATTAGTAAGTGACAGTGATGCAAATAGGCAGAAGCTCAGCAGTGTTTTTGCCTTGATAGGCAAAATGCTGATTTTCAGTAACTACCCGTTCGAGTCCCGTCTGCTGGCTGATCCGCGTGGACTTTTTTCTAGTTAAAATTTTCTTTAGATTTAAGCATCTAGCAGTTAAATGCTTAAAAAATAATAATATAACAAATACAATCCTGTTACGTTCTATTCTAAGCACACTATTACTAACAATATATACCAGAGCTGTACCCTTAGTACGAACCAATAACGAATTCGAATAGTTTGCGAGCGCGTGATATTACAATATCAAAGAAGAGAGGAAAGATTACTTTTAGTTGAAAGCAAGAAACAGTTGACTATAAGATCTGTCAAAAATATAATAATAGAATGGACAGGCTATAATAGGGTATTTGACAGTATTAAAAATAAAGTGCCAATTGTTAGCATCTGTGTTTAGAATGAATATTGGCAGGAGTTTTTACTATTTTTACAAAAAAAAAATTTATTATTTTACTAAAACCCATGAAATAGATAATAGTTTTCTTATCTTTGCCACGTGACCCAAAACGCTTGGGATTGGCGGAGCCTAAAATGACGTCACACGAAAGTAAACTTCCGGTTAAAGTGACATTACATTGTATGGTTTGATGTTTTAATAACAGTCGTGTGACGTCGAACACTAGTAAGACGCCATATCCAGAGAAACGTTTTCGCGGCAACTTGAAAATGGAGTATTTGATTTGGTTATTTTTACTGAAATACACAACAGAATGATGAATATCCACTTTTTACGGATTCCATTAACATTAGTCAATAACGTGAGATCATTTTCTAAAAGTTGTCAAATACCCTACGGGTAATAATTCTATAATAGGCATGTTATTTATAAAGGACAATGGGGCTATAGGGCATATTTCAGTAGCTAAATAAATTCATTTAATTGTACCTTAATTTTATATTATTAGTAACCATAATAATGTGCCATATCATACTATACAACCAGATATACGACATAGCCTGGTAACTCCCCTTGTTTTTAAGAAAATTACTCTTTGTTAATCCATACATTGTGTATTACCAGTGTGAGCGGATGTCTCGCCCGCGCCGGGGAGAGAGCTCGACTTCTCTCTTCCACGTCCAGCTGGAGGATGCTCTCCTGACTGCCCGTGTACTGGACATGATGATAGGAAAACACATTTTATATAACAATAATATCAACACTAAGGCCCGCCTAATAGAAAGATTCTCAGTAATTAATCTAGTCTTGAGCATAGTCAGAAAAGGATGATGCTATATTTAACACATAGCGACATCCCTACTCAAGTGAAGATCAACATTTACTTGTCATTCTGCAATACGAACCTTAGGTTCGTACTCAAAAAAAGTCAATGTTAACTTTTAAACTTGATAGCAACAGAATTTGATAATGTGCGACTTTAAATGTTAAATAATAAATATTTCCAGCACTCACACCAATTAGCCTAGCCCCAAAGTAAGCACTGTAGGCTTGTGTTATGGGATACTAAGGTAATGGATAGAATACATATAACGATACACATATAAGTATATTAATATAAAAATACATAATAAACAACCATGACTGGAGTGCAAATGCTCGTATTCATCACACAAACACATCTGCCCCCACCGGGATTCGAACCCGGAACTAATCGAGTAGGTGACACCTTGAAACGCGGCGTACATACCACTCGACCACGGATGTCGGCAATGCGCGAGTTACAGTTTTGTATCACAAGCGTCTATAGGTTAATGCGGCTGTTTACCATCAGGCCTAAAGAAAACACAAACTTAACAAAAGTTGCATGTTTTTGTAAACTAAAACGGCAATTGTTTATATTCTAATGTGCTAACTCACCACAAAGCCATAGTATTTGAGTATGTCCATCTTGCACATGGGACAGGTGCGATGTTCGAGCAGCCACGGATCTATGCAGTTCTTGTGGAAGTCGTGTCTGCACATAAAGAAACATTTTCATCCTCACTCTAGGGCAAAATGCGGATTGGTGGGAGCAAAGATAACCATTACGAATGGATCCAGGGCCTAAACCTTAACATGTCTTCCGAAGCACAGAGGAACTCGAGATTAATACATTTTTTGTCACCAATCCTGCTACCGAAGTTTACTAAAGATTCTTTAAACGGAAACATGTACTTAAGCAAGGCATTTTCTTAAATAACCACTATTTTGTTGAATTAAGAATTATAAAAGAGGAGCTCGATCGAGTTTGGCTGCGGCGGCGCTGAAGTTAAGCAACTTTCGCAGTGGTTGGTCATTGGATGAGTGATCCGCTATCTCTTTTTTTTATATTTCTAACACTCACACCAATTAGCCTAGCCCCAAAGCACAGTAAGGCTCGTTTTATGGGATGCTAGGGTAACGGATAGAATACATATACTATACATATATAAGTATATTTATATAGAAATACATATTTAAACATCCATGACTGGAGTACAAATGCTCGTATTCATCACACAAACATCTGCCCCCACCGGGATTCGAACCCGGGACCTCTCGAGACGCCGACACCATGAAACCCGGCGTGCAAACCACTCGGCCTCGGAGATCATCAAATTTCTTGTTCCTCCGTGCTTTGGAAGGCACGTTAACCCGTTGTTGGTCCCGGCTGCATTTGCAGTCGTTAGCACCCGCCAATCCGTACTGAGCTGGTGACCCATGGCCCAATCTTCCTATTCCATCCATAGGGAAGGCCTGTGCCCCAGCAGTGGGGATATTATTAGGCTGATGATGATGATGATGATGAATTGAATTTCAAAAAGATGGAAATATAATTTTCTATGGTAAAAATGTTACATTTTCACATATCGTGTTTTTCTAATAAAAACCTAATGTTATGGAAAACAATGAAAATCAATCATCAGGAAACAATGTACTTAAGCAAGGCATTTTCTTAAATAACCACTATTTTGTTGAATCAAGAATTATAAAAGAGAAGCTCGATCGAGTTTATTATTATTTTGTGTTATTTAATGACTCACCTACAAGGTAGAGATCTGAGCGTCTCAGACACTTTGTAAGGCTCTATGCAAATGGCGCAACACTCGCCATCACCTTGCACCTCCTGCAACACCAAAAAAGTTATCAGGTTTGTTATCTACAAATATAGGCTTTAACACCGTTACATAAGGTTCATATTCTAGATGACACGTCAGCTAGTAATTGGTTAGCACATCAAATGAGAATGAAGATAGTTACATTCTTATATTCTACGATTTCATAACATTGTTAGATTAAATCCATTTTAAAACTTACCCTATCATCAGTCTTTAAACTCTTAATTGGTATTTTGGAGAGCGCTTTTTTAGCAGCACAACATAACCTTTTCTGGAACAAAAAGATAAAATATTTTTATCTACCCTTATGCTATAAAACTGCTATTAAAGATTCTGAAACAGTTAGCTTATTGCCAACAATTATTTGTATTTGTTTAGATGTTTATACATCCAAATCATAATTTAAAAAAACATATCATCCAAAGGATGTTAGTTTTTTTTAGGCGCATAAGCGCCATCTCTCACATAGAAATGTCAAAAGTAAATAACGCTAAAGTGTTGTAGTGGTTGCCTAGCTAGCAGCCCAGCTGGGCTGGGTTAGTTGCCTAGATAGCTGTTTAGCTATCTAGGCAAGTAGCCTAGCTAGCTGCGTGGCTAGTAGCCTAGTTAGCTGTGTAGCTAGTAGCCTAGCTAGCTGTGTAACTAGTAGCCTAGCTAGCTATGTAGCTAGTTGCCTACCTAGCTGTGTAGCTAGTTGCCTAGCTAGCTGTGTAGCTAGTTGCCTAGCAAGCTGCGTGGCTAGTAGCCTAGCTACCTGCGTGGCTAGTAGCCTAGCCACGTAGTAGCCAGCTAGCTAGTGATGGCGTAGAATATTCTTCAGAGTCCGGTAAATTTAACGAATACCCTGAGTCTAACCAAGTCCAACCAACTAACTTCTCTAAAAATGTTACCTTTTTTCAAAATGCCCAGGGCCCAGCGCTTGTTTAATGTATGAAGAATATATGTCACTAATTTACACGAAGCACAAGTTCTCTTCAGAAATATTGAATTTTTCCGCTAAAGTATTGGATAGTGATTCTATGGTCCTGTCGCCCTCGATATAGTCAAAAGTAAGTAGTGTTAACGCAAAAGTATTGTAGTAGTTGCCTAGCTAGCAGCCCAGCTGGGCTGGGCTAGCTAGCTGCGTGGCTAGTAGTCTAGCTAGCTGTGTAGCTAGTAGCCTAGCTAGCTGTGTAGCTAGTTGCCTAGCTAGCTGCGCGGCTAGTAGCCTAGCAAGCTGCGTGGCTAGTGGCCTAGCTAGCTGCGTGGCTAGTAGCCTAGCTAGTTGCGTGGCTAGTAGCCTAGCTAGCTGCGTGGCTAGTATCCTAGCTAGCTGCGTGGCTAGTTGCCTAGCTAGCTGCATGGCTAGTAGTAGCCAGCTAGCTGTTTAGCTAGTAGCCTAGCCACGTAGTAGCCAGCTAGCTAGTGATGGCGTAGAATATTCTTCAGAGTCCGGTAAATTTAACGAATACCCTGAGTCTAACCAAGTCCAACCAACTAACTTCTCTAAAAATGTTACCTTTTTCAAAATGCCCAGGGTCCAGCGCTTGTTAAATGTATGAAGAATATATGTCTATGTATGTATAAAAGTTGCCTAGCTAGCTGCGCGGCTAGTGGCCTAGCTAGCTGCGCGGCTAGTGGCCTAGCTAGCTGCGCGGCTAGCTAGCTGCGCGGCTAGTGGCCTAGCTAGCTTATAGCTAGTAGCCTAGCTAGCTGTGTATCTATTGTGTGCCTAGCTAGCTCTGTAGCTAGTAGCCTAGCTAGCTGTGTAGCTAGTAGAGCCTAGCTAGCTGCGTGGCTAGTAGCCTAGCTAGCTGCGTGGCTAGTAGTAGCCAACTAGCTGTTTAGCTAGTAGCCTAGCCACGTAGTAGCCAGCTAGCTAGTGATGGCGTAGAATATTCTTCAGAGTCCGGTAAATTTAACGAATACCCTGAGTCTAACCAAGTCCAACCAACTAACTTCTCTAAAAATGTTACCTTTTTTCAAAATGCCCAGGGCCCAGCGCTTGTTTAATGTATGAAGAATAGGTAGCTAGGCATCACTATCCAATACTTTAGCGGAAAAATTCAATATTTCTGAAGAGAACTTGTGCTTCGTGTAAATTAGTGACATATATTCTTCATACATTTAACAAGCGCTGGGCCCTGGGCATTTTGAAAAAGGTAACCTAGAATTTTTCCGCTAAAGTATTGGATAGTGATTCCATGGTCCTGTCGCCCTCGATATAGTCAAAAGTAAGTAGTGTTAACGCAAAAGTATTGTAGTAGTTGCCTAGCTAGCAGCCCAGCTGGGCTGGGCTAGCTAGCTGCGTGGCTAGTAGTCTAGCTAGCTGTGTAGCTAGTAGCCTAGCTAGCTGTGTGGCTAGTTGCCTAGCTAGCTGCGCGGCTAGTTGCCTAGCTAGCTGCGCGGCTAGTGGCCTAGCTAGCTGCGCGGCTAGTGGCCTAGCTAGCTGCGCGGCTAGTGGCCTAGCTAGCTGCGCGGCTAGTGGCCTAGCTAGCTGCGCGGCTAGTGGCCTAGCTAGCTGCGCGGCTAGTGGCCTAGCTAGCTGCGCGGCTAGTGGCCTAGCTAGCTGCGCGGCTAGTGGCCTAGCTAGCTTATAGCTAGTAGCCTAGCTAGCTGTGTATCTATTGTGTGCCTAGCTAGCTCTGTAGCTAGTAGCCTAGCTAGCTGTGTAGCTAGTAGAGCCTAGCTAGCTGTGTAGCTAGTAGCCTAGCTAGCTGTGTAGCTATTTGCCTAGCTAGCTGTTTAGCTGCTACACAGCTAGCTAGCTGTGTAGTTGTTGTAACTACAAATATTAATTAATTTTAAACAAATATTAAATATTCTCTTAGAGTAAGCGTCGTAGACGACGCCGCCAGACCTCGCTTATTTTCTCTGATGGACAAAATATGAACAATTTAAAATTAATTTTAATATGGACAGTTTTACTTTGAAGTAAAACGTGAGTAAATTTTTTACGGACACGGGTCCGCAAAGTGCGTCCAGGTACACGAGCATCTGATACCTGAATTAACTTTTACTTTTTTTACTAACTAACTTTTTGATACTGAATTAACGTATATTAATTAATTGTACAAAGTATTAGTACATTACTATTAATTAATTAAGTACATTACACATATTAGGTGCATCAGAAAATAAGAAAAGTCTGGCAGTCTTGATAGAGTATTTAATACTTGTAAAACTATTACGTTTGACATAGTAGGTTATTTCAAATATGAAAGAAGAAATAGCAATTTATAGTTTAATATATTTTTTATTTTCCGTCCGGATAGCGGAAGATACACTTTCGAAATATCCTGCCTGATGTCTGAACCACGTGGAAATTTTTCTAGTAAAATGTTCTATAGTTTTAATTTTTCAAGACAGATATTATACTAAAGTTGGTTTCGCGTCGTAGGTACTTAATAGACGTACAGAGAGACGGTCCTTGGCGTGGATATATCGGAACCGCTGGATGTAGTAGAAGACGAGCCACGCCAGCGAGATCACCATCAGCACGATGAACGAGATGGACACGAATAACACCGACGTCCTGTGGAAGGGAGAATCTTATTTAAACTCTTACAAAGATAAGATAACTCGATAAGACGAACTCCGTGGCCGAGTGGTTTATAAGCCGGGTTTCAAGGTGTCGCCAACTCGAGTGGTCCCGGGTTCGAGTACCGGGGGGGCAGATGTTTGTGTGATGAATTCCATATCGCACAACGACCACGACAACGGCAACGAGTATACAAATTACGTCATGGTCTCTTAAAAATTCTGTTAAGATTATTTTATGTAAAAACGATGGTAAAGAAGCATATGGTCCCTCTATAGCAGGGGTGCTCAAACGGTCGATCGCGAGTGCTTTTTGAGAAGATCTCGAGAAGTTTTTTTTTTATTAAGTAGGAACTTAACTACAAAAAATGATTACGTAATAAATAAAATATCACTCTGCTAGCGGCAAAAGGCGGCTTTATCAAAGGAACGCGCGGTACTTCTCAAGAAAAGCCACGTTTTTTATTCTGACCGCTTTTCTAGAAATTTCGGGCGGCGTGTTTGACGGGAACATTCGAGACTTTCATTCACGCCGATATAGTGTTGCGTTGTTGTAGGATTTGGAGTCATTCCGAATTGTAACTTCAAGGCAATACTACGTCGATACATAGTTTATTATTAAATAGTACAAAATGAGTATGAAAAACTAAAATGTATCATTTTAATAACGGTTGGGAGGAATTTTTTTTTTTTGTATGGTGAAGGGGAAGTGCATTTGTCTTATTTGTCGTGCGTCAGATGCAATACCTAAGCGTGGTTACTTAGAGAAGCATCATAGTTTTATGAAAACGGTTCATAAAAACTATGAAAAGGATTTTCCGCCACAGAGTGAATTAAGTCAGTTAGAGGATCAAATACTATATAAAGTCGGCGAAACTACTATATTTTACTAAAAGCAGATTTTTGCCAGTAAAAGCGTTCTTAGAAATAAAATAAAGAATTATTAAAGCATGGAAGAGCAAAAATATATAAAATTTTAAAATAAAATAGATACAACGTACGTACTATATTTTTTCCTTTGTTTTGATATCTTCTATATTTTTAGAGGTAACAGCTTCGAAAAATACTTTATTTGATAGAAAAAAAGTTGGTAACCCTGGCTTCGGTATAAGTACATTATTCTTCAATTCAAGACCGGTGAATGTGTCGACGTTGAATACTAACTTGTTGATATTGTTGGTGACGTTGGCGAAGGTGCGCCCCTTGATGATGGCGATCATGACACGCGTGCCGTTCTCGACCAGGCGCGTGATCTCCTCGCCCTTCCATTTGTACGTGAACACCGCGCTTATGTTGCCTGAAAACAAAACAAAAACATCAAACTTTATTCAAATTGACTTATTAAAAGCTGTTTTGAACATAAAGGTATAAGAATTGAGTAGGGGAGATACAGACAAGTGGAAGTGTCCCTCTAATAGAAAGAGAAAGAATATGAAAGACCGCTAGCTCTCTCTCTAATCGCGCATGCGCATTGGCAACCGTAAGCATCTTACTATTTCGATATGATGCTAGCGGTCTCTTATCTTCTTTCTCTTTCTACCAGACGGACACTTTATGAGCCGCCTTCCCCACTCTATTCTTATAGCTCTATGGTTTTGAATCGTCCAAGATTTTCCTATCTCCCATTCAGGAGGTCAATTGCCTAATTGGATTCCTATGGCTATCGCTATTGCTTACGATTTCAATTTGTTATTTCTGACCTCCGAAGGTTTTCTTACGCTCGTTTTCTATAATATTGTTAATACCAATGTAAAAGAAAAAAAACAAGCGTGAGGCATAAAACCTTCACCGGTCAGAAATAAGAAAAAGAAATCATAAGCGATAGCGTTAGCCTTAGCAATCTCGTTAGGCGATTGACGCCCAGTACATCTTTAGCTGATGAGAAGAATGGGCGCAAGAAACTGTCACGAGCCAGGGCGTTTAAATGAAACCAACTCTTGGTGTGAACAACAAATTTATTTGGGCGTGGTTCGAAGTGCCCGGGTAAAAAAAAAACCGTTACAGTATTTGAAAGTTCTTTGCTTTCCCGGCCAGGGTTGGTACTCTCCTGGTAGTTCCGGCGAAGAGAAGTCCGGGCCCAGAGAAGATGGAGATGGTCACGAAGCGGTGGTCGTACTGGTCGACAGTGAAGTCCCGAAAAGAAGTCGGAAGTCGTCGCCAGGCGATGGGGTGACCGTGACGGGATGGATTGCTGGTCGTTGTCACACGATGGTGTACGGTGGACGCCACACCATGGACTCTGTAATATGGTCGCATTAATAACCAAACTCCGTTGTCTCCTCTAATTGTGGCCATGGCAAGAACTGGAGTAGAAAAGTACCCGGAACGTATGTGTGTTTTGTTATAATTGCCACAATCAGATCGGAGTTACAATCGGAGAAATAAAACAATTAAATAAGCTAAAGCACAGCTTAGTAAGCTTAAAAAAACAATAGGAATATAACTAATATAACTTGCAAAAGCATTATAAATAAAGATAAAGATTCAAAACGACGGTTACTATTTTAAAAATTTAAGATTTTCCACTTTATAATCGGACGCTAATTGAAGGAATACTTGTTCAACACTTACCAATACGTGGGTTAATGCACTGAGTGTAATGATTAATTATCTTAAACAATTATTAAGAAAAAATAAAAAAAATATAAAGATCGCGCGTTGTCCGCAAGGTCGCTGGGACCACAGAACGAGCGCGTGTCTGCTTGGAGTTCAATTTCGGAGTGTGAGATGGCCGGCCGCGCCGCAGCCAGCGCGCGGTGCAGGTCGGGGGGGGAGGAACTCAACAAACGAGTCGCCAAACTTGGAAGCGCGCGTGCAGCGAAATTTCATTGCCCGATGTTAAATGAATTAGGTGTTTATAAACAATAGGTATTCAAAAAAACTGATTCGTGTAAATAATGTACAATTTAAGTTAATAATATTAAGCGTAATTTAATTTTTAGGTAGAATATTATAAGTTTTAATAAAATAAATATGTAACAACGTTACAATACCCCCGCGCGCAGTGAAGGATTTTATTGTTTATAGAGAAATAAAATCCGTTTTGGAAAATGTGAATGTAGTTGCTTAACCTAAACATAAATCATCTTTCATACTTCTATCATTCTTCTATCATCATTCTTCTAACTATTAAAACAAAGTAGGTACCATACAAAGGATGTTACCGACTCCTACAAGCAATCCTGAAGACATCTAGTTTAATGAACTAGAAACTTGGCAAATACTTATATCCAATAAGTTAGTTAAGTGCGCGACGCGAGATATAAAGCTACTGTTGTACATAACAAACCAAACAAAAATATATAAAAAGAAAAAAAAACTACTTATTGACACCAACCAACTTCAAGTCTTTAATGTGCCAGGTGCCTAGATCTTTTTCAGTCATATCCTGCAATACATATACCAATGGTGACTTTTTAATTACTATTTTAGCTTTAATAAACTTCGGAGCCAATTTCTTTGAAAAACAGTTATCTTTGTCGCTTAAAAAGTAAGCACGCTTCATGACTATGTCACCAACGTTGAACTCGGCAAATTTCCTTCTCAAGTTATAATGAGAAGTATTCTTCACATGGGCTTGCCACAACCGTTTTTGCACTTTATCGAAAACACTAGATAGACGACCTAGATTTTCGGCATAAGCATCACGTGGTAAAATTGATAAATCATTACCGAGGTCATTGTCAACGTAATGTGAGCCACAAACGACTAGCTCCCTACCAAAAACTAAAAATGAGGGTGTATACCCTGTCGCTTCGTTTACGGAGTTATTTATAGCGAATTGGACTTCAGGAATAAACAAGTCCCAAGACCTATGATCGTCGTCTACATACATAGATATACAAGTAATTATTGTTCTATTATATCTTTCCACTAGGTTAACTTGTGGGGTATACTTAGGTGTATAATGCACGTTAGGTATATGATATTTATTACAGAGACTATCCATGAGCTTGCTTGTAAATTGGGTGCCGTTATCCATTAAAATGGTTTGTGGAACACCATGTACGAGAACACAGATTCCTCAAGGATTTTTGTAATTACATCTGAAGTCGCTTTTTTAATAGGAAATATCAAGCAATATTTCGAAAAACAGCAAGTAACGACGAAAATATAACTATTACGAAGTTTTGTAGTGGGGAGAGGCCCCATAAGGTCTATGGAAATAGTTTGAAAAGGACGTGAACAACTTTTAGGACGACCCATTTCTCCTAATAGTTGATGATTTTGTGATTTATATGAAAGACACTTGTCACAAGAATCTATATATTTAACTACATCATTATACATGCCAGGCCAATAATAACGTAAGGCAAGACGTTTGTATGTTTTGAATATGCCCAAATGAGCAGCGGTAGGCTCACTATGGTTTTCTTTAATAATATTCTCACGGAATTCAGAACAAACTACTTCTTTCCATGAGAATTCAGAAGTTAACTCGTGTTTGTTTTTAGATAAACGGAATAATGTATCATTTTTAATAATAAAATTTGGAAAATTTGCAGGGTCATTTAAACAACCGAAATATAAATTTTTGTACCAAGCGTCTTTAGAGTCCAAATAAGAGTTAGCAGTTGAGATGGCGTTACATGGGATTCTGGAAAGGGCGTCAGGAATCACATTGTCGGAACCTCGACGATGTTTGATGACAAAGTTAAATGCCGACAAACGTACTCCCCAACGAGCTAACCGACCGGTCGGATTACTAAGAGAGAGAAACCATTTTAGCGCGCTATGGTCGGTATAAACTGTGAATGGCTGACCGTTTTCAATATAACAACGCCAATATTCAAGCGCAGTTAGAACGGCTAAGGCTTCGCGTTCAGTAATGCCGTAGTTTTTCTCAGATGCAGTAAACGACTTGCTCATGTACGCAATAGGATGTTCCTTGCCATCGATCGTTTGGGTAAGCATAGCGCCAAATATGTAACAACGTTACAAAACTCATCAGCATTTAACAGAAGTAGCAACATTTACATAAAATCATGTCGCTCAATGCAACTTCCGCTCACATGTTGATTGATGTGTCATACGGTATAAATATAAATAGTGTTATTACTATTAGGTATAATTAGATAACATTTCGATAGTAAGTAGCATAGAGTAGACTCATCTCCGCTGGCAGCACCCGTTCACGAGCATGAGGCATGAACCAGCCCTCGCTGATGATGATATGATAATAGATGATATTATAGATCATCTATGATGTTGAGGGTATTATGGTCTTTAGAATGTTGTGAGTATTATTAGTCGGAAATGAAGAAATTTTGTGATATGATAGAATAATACAACTTTGTAGCGTGTAGTTACGCTGGTAACGTCCTCGCGCTTCTAAGGTTTACAGTTGCTGAAAATCAGCATTTTGATCCTCCTAAATTGTGGTGCATGACCACATTTCGCTTTAGTCACAATTGGACATTCAAACCCGCTGCATGTGCACTCAATATAAACAATATTGCTTATATTCTGTGTTATAAAGATAAAACAATACCTTCAATGCTTTTTTTATAAAGAACACAAATAGTTCAAAATCAAATAACAATATCTCGGCAGCACTTTTCGTTCGTAAAACTGTAAAAACATTTTTGTGGTGAATGTTATTAACGTAATCGCCATTGTTTTTATCAAGAAAAGGACAACAATACGATTATATATTATATCGATTGAATGTTTATTTACAAAGGTGTGCATGTGTAAGAGTTGTTTATGTAGTTGAGTTGGAGCATATTTTATTTGATGCTAGTATGAGCGTACCGTATCTTCCCTTTTTATTTTAATCTAAGGTTCCAAGGCTATTAATAGGGACAGCATCAAATATTACATAATAAATTTTAGTTTAATAATAAACTTGAAAGTTTCAAACGTGGCGTTGTTTCAAAGGAATACAAGAATGCCAATTTTATCTTTTCTATTCAAATAGACAATGTAATCAGCGTAAGCTTTAAAATTAATCTGGTTAGAAAAATGTGAGAAGGAGAGACAAATTTACTGTGCGACCTTCAGTTCGCATAAACAAGATGATAGTCGCATCATTACTTTCTTCCTTTCAATTTCATGCTGGTATTTTTCAATCCATTTTTCTACGTCATGGTGGGTCATCGTTATATTCGGTATACAACTTTTTTGCTGTTTTCTGGTAATATTGGAAGCTGTTAATCATGTTGTCAAGTTATTAAGGTAACAGGGCAAGTTGCTTTGACGTGGTACTGGCGTAAGAAGGGCACGGTTGCAGTTAACACGATTGCACCGATCAGGTTTCACGGCCAAGGCTGGCTGCAGCCGGCTCGGCGGTCGTAAGGTTACCAGATTATGGTGGTAAAAATAGAATGACAATTGGTAGATACACAAACTACGTCCATTTCACATCTGTATGGAATTGCCTGCTCGAAAAGATTAGTCGTGCCCAGACTTTAGAATGTTTCAAGTCTCTAGTTAAGGAAGAACTATTTGTAAGATGAACGTAATTTTTAATTAAATCTTGCAACTAGTTTTTAAGGGTTAGATGTACTGAATTTATTTATTGACGTTGACGTCTGAATTATACCGACGACGCATTCCTGAAAAGGATGCGAAACGTCAATAAACAGATAAATTACAAAGTACATCTAACCCGTTAAAACTAGTTTTATTTATTAAGTGATGTACGTAAAAACCTAAGAAACAAATAAATCTTGCTACGTCAGAACATTCCGGCTTCAGTTCTACCTAATTAGAACAAACAACAAAAAGTTTATTTTCATGTTTTATTTTCAAACTGGTATATATATTTTTTTGTTCATTTTATATCATTACGCCCAGCCCGAACTCAGAACGGTGTAGCGTGAGTCATCTTTAAATAAGTATAACAGGTAAAATAGAACCGTAACATTTTATTGGGAAAGAATCTTTCTATCCAGAATTATGCTATTGCTTCATGGCGATATGGCGAGCTGCTAAGAAGGTGGGAATGGAATGACAAAATATAAAAAAGCGATGGAGGGAGTTATGCTCGGTGTTTTTCTACGTGATCGAATGAGGAATAAGGAAATCAAGACATAGCTCAAAGGAACGCTAAGCAGAAGTGGCAATGGGTGGGGCACATGGTTCGGAGTGGACGAGGTGTCCCAAGGTGCCTCAATGGCAACCTCGCACCGGGAAGCGCAGTGTCGGTAGACTCCAGTTGGTCTGACGTCATTAAGCGAGTTGGTGGAGCCACGGGATGCAGAAAGTTTTGTATGGAAATCCCTTGAGGAGGCATATGTCCAGCAGTGTTCTGCTCTATACTAATCTGGTATCGAAATGTTATCTAGTTTAACCTGATATTGTTTATTAAAACACTAAATAATTTGTATTTAAACACAGCTATCAAAATTCTTGTCGACGATATTGAATGTATCTTATTAATTGATTTTGTAGTGACACTGTAACGATATAATATTTTGTAAATATTGTTACATAATTTAACGCTGTGAAGCTTTTTTTCGCCTGTTTTTCCATAGCTAAAAATTGTCTTTAATCCCCTGGTCTATATAGCCCAACACTTTGTTTTAACGGCCGGAAAATATAAAAAAATCGGCCGATTTTCCTCTTATTATTCAAGTTCTATCAATGCTGTACATCCAGGCTTCATTTATGCCTTAAATCAATCCTGAATATTTTATACAAAAACCATGACAAAATATGATAAAAAGCAAAATATGCAAAATGAAAATAATTTTCTCCACTCGTGGCAGAAATCATCCACTTACAAAGACGAGGGGTTATCAGGTGGGAACAAGAAATTTTGACTTTGACAAGTGGACGTCTATCGGCTGATGATGATGGCATATAAATAAATACTCACGGCCGTTATCTGTTGACAGCTTCATCTTCTCGAGCAATGTGGTATCCCTGTCATTGTATACGAGTACTGCTGAAGCATTAGCCCGCCAAGCATTCTGCACCTGGAAGACCAAAGAACACAATTTATAGTGACATGTTTTACACAAACAAAAAAAATTTGGTGACTCATTTCTTTGCCGTACTATTTTCGCAAGTGGAATTCTTTGCCCGCACAAGTGTTCCCCGTTCCCACAATCTATGCCAGATTGTTATGATCCCTTATGAGAGGCGTGAAGAAGCTCTTATGCAGGCCGGCAAGGTTAGGATGATTGTTGTGGCAGTTTATAACTGCTTTACCAGCTGTTTTCGCCACTTTATTACCACCTAACATCAGGTAGGGTAGAGTTATTTGCCTACGTAGCTATAAAAAAAACAAGTCGTCACGCCTTTATTCGGGTAGATTTCCTTTCGTTTACCCGACACCGCCTTCCAGCCCGTATTCCAGGTGGTTAGCGCATTCGGCCTGCAATCGTGAAAATAAAACAATTTTCGAAATAGTTCGTCATTGGATGGGTGACTGAAAACATATTGTCTCGAGCTCCTCCGTTCTTACGACGGCACGAAGTGAAATTGAATATTCGCCGCAGACCCAATGTCAAATATGATGTCGTTGAGGCTTGTGGCTGAGAAGTTCAAGCTGCACCTTTTATGCTCTGCCAATCCCGCATGGCGTGGAATGTGGACATTGAACTAGATTCACCATATAAATAACCGGTAATACTACAAAAAAGTTGGGCACGGTTTCAAACCTTGTTTTTGTAAAATTTTGTATGACATTCTTTTTAAAATTCTATCTCTCTTTTTTTGTGGTAATAAGAAACATGGCGTGTAATGCGCACATAACATAATAATCCAGGCTTCATTATTACGAATAAAAATTACATTTATCAATAAGCTGGTCAGCTTTGCTGTGAATCATGAATGATATAAAGGCTTGAATTAGATGTTATCGCTTTTTAAATCTGTCTACCAACCAGAGATTGTCTACGTATTGATTGACACATAAAACTAATAGCTCCGAACTCTCTCTGGATCAGAACTTCAAAAGAATAAAAACGAAGCCCTTATAAGGTCACTTACTTTTTACGTCCATCTGTCAGTCTGTCAAGACGCTTTTTCTCAAGATCGCTTGGAATCTATATGTACAAGTTTGTACGTAACCGTTGTTTTCGTTTTTTTATATTTTTTATTACATGTTCTATAAGAAGTCGCACTGTCTGTTGTCAAGCTTTTACATTTCTTTTCATGTTAAAAAGGGTGGCTACGCCGGAAGGTGACAATAGTCAGCGCATTTGCATGTTTCCTTTTTTTGTCAGAAGAGGTAAATAGAATAGAAGAGAGGTAGGGCATAGCAGATTTCCGCTGGTATTGGAGCGGCCGTCTGGGGAAGTAACCTCCGCCTTACAGAAGAACACAGTAAAATGATACTACCTTTTGGTGGTCTTGTGTTTCTGCTGGTGAGTGAGGTTCCAGGGGTCCACGGGGTAGAGTATTGGGTAAGGGTAGGCAACTGTGCGAGTGTATTTGGTATCACAAGCGTCACAAAATTGATAGCATCTTAACTACACTCAAATGCAAAGAAAACGGGTCACCAGTGACTTGGAACTCTGATTCGATTTTCTCAAAAACTATAAAACTTTCAACTATTAAAGTCATATCTAAAGAAACCGCGTTTCATGACGATTGAAATGATTAAAATTTTATTTTAAAGTATTGTTAACTTAATGTGTAATAAAACGTAAACAATAAAATCGACGAGTGTGAGCTCACGAAAACTATCATAGTTTTCGTAATTGTAAAACTCGTACTAAGGGTACTTGTTCATTTTAATCGTCACGAAACGCACTTTTAAACTTTAATAGTTTTTAGTTTTATACTTTTTGACAAAATGCTGTCCAGTGTATAGTTGGACCAGTGGATTTTTAGCGGCGAGGGACCATTTGACAAAATTATTAGACTTACCAGGGACCAGCACTTACGATTTCATCCCTAGCAATTGTAAATTAATCAGCATTCTACCTTATGCGTCCTACCTTATGTAATATCCCTTCATATGGCTTCGCGGACCACTTCGAATGCCTCCAGGGACCACCAGTGGTCCCCGGACCACCGGTTTTAACCAACAACCACTGGTATAGAGAGACTATGGTGGCCGCTTACCATTAGGCTGGCAAGACGCTTATATGCCACCCTTATAAAAATATCATCATCAGCCTATTAACATCCCCACTGGTGAGGCACAGGCCTTTCTTATGGATGAAATAGGGAGATTGGGCCATGATTTGGGCGGGTGCTAACGACTGTAGATGCAGCCGGGACCAATGGCTTAACGTGCCTCACGTAGGAACGAGATAGAAGATTTTGGTCACCTATCCAATGACCAACCACTGCGAACGTTGCTTAACTTCATCGATCGCAACCGAACGCACTAACCACCCGCGCCATCGAGCTCCTCAGTCAGTTATTATTTCATGTCACATAATATATAAAAATATATGTGACATGAAATAACATATTTCTTGATAATCCACAGCTTCAAAGCAGATAACAGAAGTGAGTATAAGGCCGACGTGACGGTGTCAACATACCGATATCTCGAGGGTACAACATATGACCTTCGGGGAATAGGACAATGTACTTATAAACTGACTATTGAGATATTAACTTCTGAAATTTACATTGCTTTTAGGGAAATTTTCTAAGAAGGGTCTCTACTAGGTTTAATTCAAAAGTATCTACGCGCCCAGAACCCTGAACACGCATCTAGTGCGTGTAAACTTTGGACTTTTCGAAACCAGTTTCACCAGGGTCGACTGGTCAGGCTTTCTTTTGGATACATTCTTCGTGTATTGTGCAGGATTTTAAAAGAAACTAGTATTTGAGTGGGTTTCAAAATAGTTCGAATACCTACACACACATTGTTACGGGAAAACCTTTTGCCTATAAAATGAGAGCATCATGGAAGTATTTTACCTATACTGCAAGTACGGAACTACTTCCGTATCGGAAACCTATCCCCTGATTATCTAATATAGGGCAACTTACCGAAGAAGAACAGATGTATGAAGGGATCACGTATTCCCGCGAGATCCCGCTGTTTTTAATAATCTGTTGGATCCCGCAAAATAAAAACTTCGCGTATATCTCCAGTAGCATGACATGAACGCGAAGTTGGTGTTCAGAGGAGAGTGTCTGACGCTGGCTAATCAATATTATATTGACGGTTCCTCATAACCTACTAATTTCAATCCCGCGGGATTGAATGAGCTGTGGGATCGCAATCCCAATTTCCAGTAGCAATCACCCATCCAAACACCGTCCTTAAACGATAACAATATGTCGAAAGGCCATCTACTATCGTTATTACTCACGTTATATTATATTTACATTCAAGTATTTCCTCCAAGATGTCGGAAGAAAAAAGGTCATCAGTTCAAGATAAATGTGTTTCATTTTAAGATAAAATAACATAGGTGAATATACGGATAACTTAAAGCGTCGACCATTTGAGGTCAGTTCTTATCTGTTCCACTTTTGGGTGCACTTTTTATTAACCTTGCTATACAGTCTAAATACCAGAAGAAATTCGACACGCCCGTTAATATCCCAGTAGCATTCAATTATTTTCTTTTATTAATAAACAATAATATTGTTACAATAATTTCCCATAATTATGCATCATCCAATCTATATTAGACATGCGAGTCGGGCTCGCATACGCAGCTTTCTCAAATGTTTGACAAATTGAAACACAGCTATTGTTAAGAGAGCAGAGTGAGACAATAAAACCGGACAAGTGCGAGTCGGCACGCGCACGAAGGGTTCCGTACGAAAAACGGCAAAAAAACACGTTTGTTGTATGGGAGGCCCTTAAATATTTATTTTAAGTTAATTTAATAATTTCTTTTTTAAAATGAATAAAGAACTAAATATTCTGTGAATACTTCACGTGTCTTCCTGATGCCGTTAATAATATAGAGAAAAAACAAAAAAGCACGTTTGTTGTATGGGAGCCTCCCTTAAATATTTTTTAAGTTAATTTAATTATTTCTTTTTTAAAATGAATAAAGTACTAAATATTCTGTGAATACTTCACGTGTCTTCCTGATGCCGTTAATAATATAGAGAAAAAACAAAAAAAGCACGTTTGTTGTATGGGAGCCTCCCTTAAATATTTATTTTGTTTGATAGTTTACTATCAGGCACCTTTTATCTATAATGTTAATGTGTGGTGGTTCATGTCCGTCTGTATTTCGTGGAGTTGTCCGCAAAATTGAAATTTAGGACCTATGCTATGCAATCATGCCAGGATGCTTCAAATAACATGCCAAAACATCGTCAAATTAATAAAACCTCTTTCTGGTAATATTCATTGAAGCAGAGAAAAAATCTAAAGCGCCCGTTTATAAATATTGTGTTTGATAATTGACCTTTGGAATCAAGAACGTGGTTCCTGTCTGTCTTTATGTCTGCACGGAGTTGTCCTAAATTTTTTTGTTTTCTCTTCTGATCAAGCCTAGAAATTTGTGTCATGTAGTAATTTGTGGTAGCTAAATCCGAATGTGGGTTCAGATTTGGGATTGTGGTCCATCCAGGGAACAGTGGCGGATAGCAGGGGCCAAAGTCAAGTGCATCCGTAGGGTCCCGCTCACCCCCCTCACCCTTGGCCCGAGTGTGGACCGCTTCGATGACATCTTCGCCGTACTTCCCTGAATAACCACGTGTCTCCGTAAATATTACCTTAATCTCAAAGTTGCAGCTGCCCCTCCTTATGACCGCGATCCACGGTTCGGTGGGCAGCTGGTCCTCAGTGGCCGACAGCAGGGGCCACGTGCATCCGCTGTGGTCCCGCTCGCCCCCCTCCCCCTTGGCCCGAATGTGGACTGCCACGCCGCGCGCCGACCCGATGAAACCTTCACCGTACTTCCCGGACTGAAACCAAGAGAGATACTTGTTTATTATAGTGCGATTCAAGGTTAATGACGGTACCCAAACGGTGCCTAAGGCCCTGTGTTTCAAGAATTACATCAGCTGCAATGCTGGACACAAGCCTTACTGAGAGCTAGGTACCCGAACCCTTCGCTATCTGGGCGAATGCACTGACAAATTATGCTACCGCGGCCCTGATGGCCGCGTCGAAATTCTTAAGCTGCAAGGCAGCGCCATCTCTTCGCATTGTAGGTAACCCACAATGTCAAATGAATACTTTTACAAGTATTAAACATTTGAAAGAAGAAATAGCAATTATAGTTATAATTTTTATTTTTTAAGCATGTAACTGCTTGATGTTTAAATCTAAAGAAAAATATAACTAGGAAAAAATCCACGCGGACCAGTCCCTGCTTGGTCTGCGTGGATGTTTTCCTAACATCAAGCAGTAACATGCTTAAAAATAAAAATTATAAGAAATAAGTTGCATAACTATCAATGAAACAGACGCAACGAAAATATATAAATAAACCATCAAGTGGTTGACACATATACGTGATTATTCGAATTTATTTAGTTCTAACTTTATGTATGTTTGGTGACTCAACCAAACTATTTCATTATTTAAATTTATTCTATTCGATATCGCAGTAATGAACAGTGATCTAAACTTTCTTGGGCAACAACAATAACGATGTCGTTCTGGCATGATTCTCAAAACTTAAAACTAAATTTATCTTTGTGTATATTCCGATTCTTTAAACCTAAATTTAAATTTGACATCTGTGTATCCTTGTCTTTCTCTATACACTAGAAAAAAGATATACACAAAATATACTCTATACATTAAAGAAAGAAAAGGATGCACTGATGTCAAATTTAATTTTAGGTTTAAAGAATCATGCCATTATCGACACCTACTATAACAATCTAGAATAAAGCCTCTAGATATAAATAGATAGTAATAGAATTATTCGAAACTTCTATTGTGACATTTGTTAATTACGAAAATATAGTAAGTACCGATTCGTTAGTAAAACTATACCCTACGTTACCTCCTGAGGTTGTAAAAAACCTTATTTTGAGACATTCTATTCGATAAAGGTTGTGTTTGTTTGCATCAGTCATTTTCAAAGTCTGTTAAGATTATTTTTAGTAAGTGTAGTGTTAATGGAGTTTAGCATTTTACCAAAAAGAACATTAACAGTAATTTGAAGAAAACCTACATAATTATGATTTTGTCCAAATTACGATATAGTTTCACTTGCGCAACAACAGCGCCTCGAACAATAGTTTCGAAATTATTAACACAAATGACGTTAATTAAGTTCAATGTTAACTGAACTTGATCCGTTGATAATTGGTGTGCTCTTGGGAGCTACTGTTGTATTTAATAACGCTTTCAAATGCCATTTTGTTAATAGCCAAAGCAAATAATTAACACTCCTTAGTAAGAAACCACAGCAGTTTAAGCCCAAGGAAAAACACCAAAGCTGCTTGGTTCAATAAATGCATTTATGAAAGTTAATTTTTTGTGGTTCAAACTTTTGTATAGTTTTAAACTTTCATGACCACTAACATTACTGTAATATAAGTTATTTATGGCATTGTTACCATGTACCTTGTTTTTAGCGAGTATCCGATATTTGGGCACTGTAGCAAGCGCCATGATTACGGGGAAACTCGCTTAAACAAGGTACATGGTAACAATCCGGTAAATATAACTTCTATTACTATAACTTTTGTATTGTTATTCGGTCGGATGGGTGGTAAAAATATAATTGCCACCAGCTTAATCTCTTGGTTAGAGTGATAATCTATCTCATAGAACACAACACAGGGCATCGGCGGGCAGGGCAGGGTATAGCATCGTCAAAGTTTCTATGCAAATTAAGCAGCACCCCTACCGGACGTAAGAAATAACTGGCTCCTTCCATACAAATTTTTACGATGTCGACACGATTATGCAACTGTCAAAGTTCGTGCTTGGGCCTCAGTTAAATAAAGCTAGTGACCTAACCTCCACCATACAGAATAACACTACCTTTTGGTGGTGCTGTATTTCTAGTGCTACTCTGGTACCATCAGACGGGCCATATATATTTCTGTAGTTAAAAAGTAATAGAAAAAAATTCCACCCCGAGATTGGGTGGGAACCACCCCCCCGGGATAAATGTTTTGTTCCCTATCTTCTGTGTAAATTTCAAGTAAATCCATGTAGGACAAAAACATGCGAGTCAAAACGCTTAATTTCCTGGACTAATATATTTTTCTAGACCTACTTATCGTTACACCATGTCAGTTTATACAATATAGCCATATAGATTAGCATTTTGTAAGCGAAGTCTAATAGTTTTTAGAGTGTACCTATTCAATGATTGTTCGCAACGTTCAAATATGTAGACAATAAAATATGTAAGCAAATAAAGACGAGTTAATTAGCGAATGTTTTGAATTGACGTCAAGAAGTTTAAATTTTTTTTTATATAAGACGCAACAAGTTATACCACACCGATGTGAGATTAGCCTGCGCAGACGACTTTTGACCGCGGCCTTTTTTGTCCGCCAGAACAGATCGCTAACAACTGCATATGCTAAGGCACACGAGGGATTACAAGTACCGCGTACAAAAAGTCCCCCAAGCAACCGAGGATACCGAGAGATCGGAATGGACCAAAGTATAAGTCACCCCGAAAAAAAAATTTCACACAGCGAACTTCAGTTCACATTGCGCTAAAAGTTAGTTTTATTTCTAGTAGTTAACCAGATTCGCATTCTAATTCGGACGAAAATCCGTCATTTTTCTCTCTGAAAGTCGACAAAGTGTGTATTTTATATAGTTTATTAAATTTTAAGGAAAATATAGGTTAGTATAACAGTAAAGAAACAACTAGCAGCCCGACAAGGTGAGGGAAACTGCTTCACCAGCTATCTTCGCGTCTGAATTCCATCACACATTCGCGTTAGCTGGTAGGTGGACACTGGACATTTATTTTCTTGGACCAATACCTACTAGATACATATAAAAACATCTTTAACTGTTTCGCCTTGAACTCAGTATATCAAATCTTCAGATTACAGAACAAAAGGCAGAGGGAGTGCACGGAACACGCAAAACGTGGCACCATAGCAAATACGAACTGAAAAACGAATATCAATTCGCGTCATTATACCTACTACATCGCATCGTATTGTGAATATTAAGGTTTTATCAAAACTGTGCCGCCTTGTTCAAACATTGTAGGAGGGAACCCAAGCGGAATTTTTTGGATTTACTTGAGCGCGGCAGATTAACATATGGGGGGCAATCTTGCCCCTTGTAAAGTGCTCCTACCATACCTGAGCGCTCTATGTAGCTACGAACGTCTAGGGCAGTCAATTTTATTTTTAACAAACTGCCACGACTCTTGGTCGGTTTTAAATCATCAGTATTTTAAATAGGAGGTACCAAAGGGTTCCGTGCGCTCCATCTGCCATTTGTTTTGTAGTCTGAAATCAAATCACTGTGTATATCAAAGGTGCGGCGAGGTCCACTTGTTGACAATTTGGCTATCATTTACGTGACGCTTCGTTCGTTGGCCGACGCCGACGCCAAAAGTGTTTACATGCCAATTCTCTAATGACGCGATGGCAGCGTGTCATGGCTATAAAAATAATTAAAAGGTCTTTGCGAAGATCAAAATAAAAGAATCATCATTATTGTATTATGTATGGAAGAAAAAAAAAACAGGGCACTGCGGATTGATGGAATACCAGCGACCACAAAACTTATAATAAGAGCAATCCTCTTATTATAAGTTCTGTGCCAGCGACTGATAAGCTTAGTAAGGTAAGGTAATGAAGCTATTCGGAAGCCTTTTGGAAGGACGAGATATAAAACTTTAGGCATCCACCCAGACCACTCTTAAAAAGCTACTCAATATTTGAAATCGCCGACTTAAGTGTGCTTACCTTTGCGCCAAGGATTTTCGTACAAATTGAATGACTTAAATATATAACTATATATTATGTAAGTAGTTAATTAGACTGTAACTCGTACACAACATTAAAAATCAAAACATCATTAAAGTAAGTTATATAAAATCTATTACATTTTATTTGTTAATAATGGGCATAATTAACAAGTTAAACTAGTAACGAACTGCGTCCGTTCATTAGTGATTGTGGTTTAACTCTGTGTTAAAAATCTAATACACTGCTCTCGCGTTGTCTTTAACCAACAACAAGATTTATGTTACTGAAGTTTGTTTTATTACTTTTTATGCGACTTTTGGCAGGGCAGTCGGATTTTATAATTTATTTTTTATTTCAGCATGAAACTGCCTATTAAATTAATTATGAAAAAGCACATAGTTGTTACCTTTCCACGTAGAAACCATTCCATAGTCGCAAAGGTTAATTATTAAATCACGTTCAAATTTATTCCATCCCTCCCCACTTTGATGCAAAGCAGGCACAAATGTTTTCAAAGGGTAATTTGCATCTACGAGAATATTTAATACCCCGTGGAATCATGGCATAACAGTAGTCATATCACAGAGTTATGTAAACATACATTAAATGATGTATATGTCGTGGCCATATCGTAGATTTGATCACTTCATGAAATGCTCGAGAATTTCATGAAGTGGCCAACTTAATTTGACCAGATCATTAAATCGTCAACATTTAACAATTTGGTCATCCACATTTGGCCGGATCGTATAATTAGGGTGTCCATAAAATATTTATTAAAAATCCAGAATATGTAAGAACTTGTTTATTGTTATTTATGTCCGAATGACACAAACAAATTTAATCAAATTTTTGTAACAAAATAAACATATTTATAAGAGCGAGCAAAGCGAGCGTGTCGTGGCAGCGGCCAGCGAAGCACCAGAAAAAAAACTCTATTAAAGAGACCTTTTCTACAAAAAAAAATCAAGTATCACCTCTTGGGCCCTGGAAGTACAGTTTTACAGTATATCTTTGTACGGCATTGATTCTCATCCGCACTTTGTACC